GGCATAATAACAATCCATTGCATGACAACTGCAAAATTAACATTAAGAAATATTCATTGTAGAATAAAATGCAAACTAGAAAAACAGTATAATTATCATATTTATTTCAGTAAACCCTGTAGTCCAGGCTAATATTTTACCGTTTCCTTAGGTTGATTCTCGCTGCATATTAACTTGGCATACTCAGGTAATATATAATAAAAAAGTAAATTTGAATACCTAAAGCATTCTTTATTCTCTCTACTCTGTGGAGTAACAGGTAGGTATATAAATTTATAAATTAAAATTGCTGTAACATGGGATACTTTATGATAGTAGAAGGATAATACAAATGAATTTAAACTTTAAAGATGTGATAAAAATATAGATATTTCACATATGATAAGAAATATAAAAGTATAGTAAAATTTTCAAATAGATTAAATAATTATTTTGGAATTAATAATATTAACCAGTCCACAAATGTTCAAGCAATTTTAGGATTCTATGAAGTTCCTAAAGCAAGTAGCAAGGAAAGCAAATGGTTATCAAGATGTGTATTGGAGGTATGATTACATGTAAAATTATGGACTTTGAAAATAGACTTCATAGGAAATAGAGGTATGCATGATTAATATAATACCTGTTAGTTCCACTTAGAGTAATAAATAATAAGGCTTTTCCTTGTAAGGTACAATGATAGTAACCCCTTGCAAATAGTAAGTGAATATGTTTCCTTCCTTTGGTCAGGTAACCTACCTGTGGGTGTGGTAGGTACTCCCTCAATATCCTGGCAACACATTCCCTCTCTCTTCTTTCTTGATAAAGAAGCAGATTTTTAACATTTTCCTGTTCGAGATTTCCTATTTCTCTTCACTGATGGCTTTTTCCGTTCAGCCTTTAAATATGTTCAGGTGTCTACCAACTTAAGTAAGCTCTCTGATTTCCTTAAATTCCCTTTTAGAGCCCTCTATAATTCACTGTTTCCTTTCAAAATGAAACTCCTTTCCTGAATTTTCTAGTTTCTAAATTCAGGATTCTTTAGTCTTATTTATCTTGTATGATTTTGGGGGTAATCATTTGACATGATCACATCTTCCTTAAAACTCTTCCCATTGATTTCTAAGGTGCCACTTTTTTTTCCTTCTACATTTTTAGTAAATATTGGAGTCGAAAATCCTATATATTTTACTCTAACAGGTTGGTTAAGCAAATTTTTCCTCTTTCTAAGGATGGGAAATCCTTAGCTATTTTGGGTTAATGAGCTATAAGAAGAGAATTGTTGAGAAATTGGAGGAAAAAAAAGTTTTCCTTGTGAGAGACAGCTTCTGGAAGTCTAGTTCTCTCTCCTGTTGGATTTGAAAGAGGAAGTTTATCTCACCAAATGTCATTGATAGTCATCATTATGAGAGGAATCAGTTTTAGGATAAAGCCAACATTGTGGTAGCAAAGAGGAGAGGGAAAAAGAACATCTCTAATAATATAGAACTGAAGCCCAAATCTGAGATGTACCTTAGATCTTGACTAATCTTATATTACCTAAATATTTCCTTAATGTTCAAGGATTTTTCCCTTTAATTTTCTACAATTTGCAGTGGAAATCACCATGTTGAGAAAATCTTTGATTGTTCCTTCTCTGTCTCTTCTTCCTTTGGTACATTCCTTAAATGTTGGCATCCCATGGGCTTCTATGTCATCCCTTTGCTCACTGATGGCACAATTATGACACGTTCTGATGATTCTCAAATTTGTGGCCATATCTAAGATTTCTCTACTGAACTTCAGATAAATACAATCAAACACCCACTGTATCTTTCAACTCAGATGCCCTAAAGATACTTAAAATCAACATATTAAAATCTTCCTTCATTTCTACTATTACTTTGTTATTTCCCATTTTAGCAAATGAATTATCATCACACACTTGACAAAATTGGAAACGTTGATACCTACTTCAGAAATTTTAATCTGTCCCTTATGTCCAATCACAAGATCTTTTTGGCTCTGTTGCTTAAGACTATATTAGACCTATGTGTTTCTCTCCACCATTCATTGTTTCCATTTACTCTGCTCTGGAATACTATAAAAGCTTCTTGACTGGATCCATCGCCCCCAATTCTCTCCAGCTGAAGCTGTCAGAATGTTTTTAAAATGAAAATTTGATCATTTCTGTTCCCAGCTTAAACCACTTCAATGGGCCCTCTTCCATTTCTTACAGAATAAATACCAGCATGATCTGGCTTCTGCCTATCTTCTAGCATTGGAAAACTGCTAGTATTTCAAAAATAGTTTTTGTGTCCTATCCTCCAGAAATCCCACTAGTAAAATATATACCCAACAGAAGTATTTATTTATGCTCAGCTGAAGACCTATAAGAATGCAAGAATGCTTATGGAAACACTATCCAAAACTGAAGACAACCAAAACCCCCTTAACATGTGAATGGATAGCTAAATGGTGAAATTCAATATTTTCAGGAGGAATACTACTTAGCAATGAAAATATACCAACTGCTACACATATACAGTATGAGTGAACTACACAAAAACAACATTGAATGAATAAAATCAGGCATAAGATAATATATACGGCTGGGTCCCCATCTTCATAACATATATCATATTATATTATAATTACCTGCAATGCTAGTAATTACCCAACATACAAATTAATAATATACATCATGCCTGCAAATCAATAGCATTATTAATTCTTATGGATCATTAATTTGATATTTAATATATTTTAACAAAATGCTATAATCTATAAAATTATGTAATATAGATATGAAGCACAATTATAAAATGGATACTCATGAGGTTAAAAGCTAATGTATGAGAACCACAATTCAACTGAAGAATTAAAACAGAACCCATAATAACATCAGTCCCATTCATCTTATACCTTATACAAAAATCTATTCAAAATGGATCAAAGACTTAAATCTATGACCCAATACCATCAAATCATTAGAAAACATGAGGGAAACTCTCAAGACATTGGCATAGGCAAAGGCTTCTTGGAAAAGACCCCAGAAGCACAGGCAATCAAAGCCAAAATTGACAGATGGGATTACATCAAGCTGAGAAGCTTCTGCACTGCAAAAGAAACACTCAGCAAAGTGAAAAGACAACTGACAGAATTGGAGAATATATTGCAAACTACACAACTGATAAAGGGTTAACATCCAGAATATATAAGAGCTCAAGAAATGCAACAACAACAAACCAAACAACCTAGTTAGAAACGGGCAAAGGACTTGAACAGGCATTTTTCAAAAGAGGAAACCCAATTGGCCAACAGACACTTGAGAAAATGCTCAGGATCACTAGGCATCAGGAAAACACAAATCAAAACCATGGTGAGGTTTTACCTCACTCCAGTTAGAACGGCTCATCTTCAGAAATCAACAAACTCTTTTGAGGATATAGGGAAAAATATACCCTGGTCCACTCTTGGTGGGAATGTAAACTGATACAACCATTGTGGAAGATAGTATAAAGATACCTCATATATCTGATCTGAGTATAGATCTACCATATAATTCAGCTATTCCACTCCTGTGAATTTTTCCAAACCCAAATCAATCAGTATATGAAAGAGTTATCTGCACCCCCATGTTCACTGCAACACAATTCACAATAGCAAAGATATAGAATTAACCCAGATGTCCTTCAACTAAAGACTGGATAAGGAAGTTATGGTATATATACAGTATGGAGTACTACTCAGCCATAAAAAATGAAATCCTGTGTTTTACAACAAGATGGTCACAACTGGAAGCCATTAACTTAGTGAAATAAGGCAGTCCCCAAAAGACAGATATCAAATGTTTTCTCTTATCTGAAATAACTAATAGAATACCTGAAATGTAATATATTAGAGTGAAGTAGACATTTTGAGAATTGATGAATTTTTTATAGCCCTTCCTCTTCCATTGAGGAAGAGTGCTTTGTTTTGCTTTTTCTCTCTTCATACTATTTGTTGAACTCCTTTATTTAGAGTTAAGTATACTGATAATAAATAATTGTAAAAATTAAGAATGAGAATCCAAGAGTGAGGAGGAGGAAAGGTTATAGCATGGGCAGAAGGAAGAGTTGGGGGGGAAGTCCCACTAAGTTCCTAAATCTGTATATATGAAATATATGAAACTTGTATAACTTAAATAAAATTTAAAAAATTGAGCTAAATGTCATTTTTATAGATTTGTATGCATTTCAAAAGTATATTCTCAAATATAAGCAAACTTCAAAAAGTTCATGGAAAAATGGACTTCAAATATAAGCTTATTTTGGTACAAAAATTTAAAAATACATGCAAATTTTTTATACATTTTTTCATGATCTTTTTAAAGATACCTCAGACAAATACCTTGTTCTTCATATATGTTTCTAATATCTTCCCCCAGTTGTGGCTGTTACTTTTATGGTAACCTACCACATGGTGTTTTAATTACCTATTTATTACTCAATTTACTTCAATGGATTAGAAGATACTAGAGATAAGAAACCATATTATATTCATTTTTGTTTCCCTGGCCACTAGCAATTTTCAACACACAGTAGTGTATGAAGAGTTGCTTGTTAAATGCTGAATGAATTGTTATGAATTCAGGAATAATGAATCAATTCTTTTTTGCATTTTATGCACACTGGCTACAACACACTGCTGAAGCCAAGAGAGTCAGACATATATGTTACACACCTTTCTTAATGCACTTTAAAGGGGGGTAGTAAGTAAGAGTGCAAGACTATCTTCAGATTCTTTTCAGAGTGGTGGTATCAGTGGATAGGTGGCAGGATATTATTTATAAACATTAATTACCAACTCTTAACACTCGGTAGTGTTCAGTTTCCATTCTTTTCAATGTACTTACAGTTAGCCAAACTCCCTACAGTGGGGTAATATTTAGCTTAAAGTTAACACAGAATTAGAAATGATGTTAAGACACAGATATGGATTACATATCACAATGGATGTGTATGTTTCATGGTTTGTGTCATCAAATTGAAATTGGTTACCTTTTTAGTAATGGTGTCCGGAGGTACATCCCGCCTCCCAAGTGGATAAGGATTCCATTGGCCACTAGGAGATACATCTTCTTGTCCATTGTCTAAAATGTTGCTTTGCTGGGACGGGGTCTATTGCGAAAATGGCATGGCATTCTTTAGTGATGTAATAGAAGTTTACCATAGTTTTCTGAAAAGATTCCCTAATGATTATGTAAAATTAATATTGTTTAATTTCAGAAAAACATATATACTGACCTGAAAATATTATTATACACTATTTACTGGATAAGAATTTTAAAGTCACAGCTTTTTGGAAGGAGCGAGAAACACTGTTAAAATAACCATCCTGGAGTTATTTACTGAATTTTAAAGAAAAGTTTAGATCAGTTACAGTACCTGAATAAAAATAATCAGAATATAATTAACCAACTGTTAAAACCCATAACATTTAAAATTTGCTTAATTTGTAACTTTAGTATTATCTTACCATTTAAAATATAAATTAAAAACATATAATCCATAGTATATAATGTTTAATATTCCAAACCATAACCTAACCTAAATTTTATAAGGGTATATTAATTCTGGAAGAATATGCCTTGCACTGATCCAAACCAATGTTAACACTGGAATAGTGCAAGATATATGGTACTCTACCATCCTCTATACAGAGTTTTCAGAGGAAGATTAAAGCAATATAAAAATATTATGCTATTAGAATCACCATGTAAGTAAATAATGACTGTTTTGTCAAATTTATTTACTCCTATATATAATTTATATATTAACATAAAAACACTTCATGAGTATTTTATTTTTCTTGACTTTCCTGATCATTATTTTTAACAGATAATGATACCCCATCTTAATTATTACTAATATTAGGGTTTTTTTTGCAAGAGGGAGCCTCCATATTCTGACCCAAGTAATAGCAAGCAATCACACACCATCAGAAAGCTTCTAGCAGCAGGATATATGGTGGTGTACTTATATGTGAGTATATATATGTATATGTATATATAAATTTTTTTTCAGGTGGTCTCTTTTTTTCTTTACCTACAGGACATACACAAGTACTGCTTGGCTTCCTGACAAATTCATATGTGGTTGAGATCTTATGTCCTGATAATCTTTCATGTCATTTTCTGCACATATTCTGAAGGATGTCTACTGATAAATCCTGGTTGGAGGATGTATATACACCTGATACTTGTAAAGAATTGCCCTCCAAACCTAGAAAGGGCCTTCCTCTTCATAATATGTCACGGATATGTTGTTTTTTGGGCTTCATCCAACTCAGTTATACTGAGTTGTCCTAGTTTTTTCTCCTTTAAAAACAATTATCTAACCATCCTAACTGCATTATGACCACAGGCATGCTAAAAATATTGCTTGGAAATATTTTAAAGTTGGATTTATTATGACATTTGGTGAAATCTTCCTAGGGTCTAGTGGATATAGTGAAAAGGACATGACCCACATAACAGCAGTACTTTTACATTGACCTTGTAAATTACTCTTCTTGTTCTTTGGCCATGTGAATTATTTTTCCATAGACCTGTCAAAAAGTTTTAAAAACCAGGAAAAAGTTATTGAATTTGAGCTCTTAGTTGAGAATAAATGTATCTGTTTGAAAAAAATCAAACATAACATCAATAAGCTGGTAGCTATCCAGAGTCTGTCTCTCTGCAAGCACTGATTTTCTAGTCTTTACTTATTCCAAATTAATATGTTTTCAGATACCACAAATAATACTAGGTACTAAGATATGTTAAAAATATTAAAGTTAAGCAATTAAAATAGAATTATGCAGGTTAAGCACTACTAGGCAGTCACTTCTTTTTAAATTTTTAGTGCTCATGTTTTTTCTGGCTTGGTTTCTTTGTCAGTGAAGTAGGATAGCACAGGATAGTGGGGTCTGTGTAATGCATATTTTTGAAAAGTGTCCATAATTCAACATATTTTTCCCCTCTATACAACTCCCATCTCCATCTCTATTTCCTTTACCACACTTGCATCAGCTGCCCAGATATGGCTGCTAGTTGCTGTTAGAAAGCAATTGAAAACAATAAAATTATTTTTTAGCACTGACATAAAGGGACAAAATCTTGTTAGCCAAAAAATACTAATAACATCATGGTTTAGGCATTTTAGTAGTTAATAAACTAAGCTCTCTTTCTAGTTATTGTTAATGATCCTACCAATTCTTCCATATTACAGGGGCCAAAGGAAACACATATGCAGACACCTTACTAAGACTCTTTTCCTAGATAGCAAACATTAAAGGAACATCCTGAAAGTAATTTCCTTTGTTCATTTTAAGAATACTCTGGCCTTTTTCTTTTCTTAAATGAGGCATCCTAGGAGTGATTTAAGTATGCAGAAATAGGATGACTATGAAAACAATTTTCTGATGTGTTGTGACGGTGGGGGCGGTGGTGGAAGTGGTGGAGACTCAAGAGATTGATGCAGCACACTCACGTTCTTTCCCAAAGGATAACAGCTATTGTGTGTAAGTTCAGTCAGTTAGCTATTAAAACTCATACGTATTTAAAAGGAGCAACTGAAACTTATAAAAAGTGCTATTACTTTTGCGATTTATGATTTCAGAGAAAATAATGAAACTAAAGTTATTATTCATTCCATTTCTTCTCATACTAAATCCTTGATATTTTCTTTAATATTTTAAAGAGTAGGAATGACTATTTTAAAATACTAGAGAATGGCCAGTGTGATTTAGTGAAAAATCAGAAATTATTGTATTTCATAAGAAATATAGTAATTCTGAAAACACTTGCTGAACAAATAGATGTTATTCCCAAAGACTAGTAAGGACACTTGTAGATTGATCATTTGTCATTTTGACTACTATGAATGATCACAGGTATCTAATTGAAGAAGTATTTTCTAAGGCATATATGTACATGAGCATGTGTGTTATCTGTACATGCTAGAACATGTAAATGGTGGGTTTGTGCAGGTGTGTTTATATGTATATATGTATATGAACCTATCTGTGTATGAACAAGAATCACATAAATGGGTAAATGAGCTAAGCTGGGCCAGAAGCTCTGCTTTGTTTTTCTAACTGATGGGTTCACAGTATACTTGTGCAATTTTACTTACTGTATTTTACTGGAATATTGTATGCAAGTGGCATTAGAGGTTGGCATTCTGCAGAAGTTTTGGAATGTATCTTTTAAGAATACAAGGATATATTTTGTTTTTATTCTTTGGCATATAGTTCATAAAGGGTACCATAGATGTAAAAAGATGCGAAAAAAAAAACAATTTTTCTCAAAGTTTTTCCAGTGGAATCACCTCCTTTTTCAGCACACCATTTTAAATGAATAGGTATTACAATGGCAAATATATGCTGGGCTTGGGTCTAAATGACTGTGATCCTAAGGGGTTCAACCCGAAGGGGGAATGTGATGATCAAGTGATTCTTAAAGCAGCATTTCATTGTATGGGCAATGAAACATCCAAGTAAGCATCGATATTATTACATTGATAATATTAGCCATGGTTTATGAGGATTTATAGGCTTTTTCATAATTAGAAAGGTGAATGAATCTTTCCGGAGGGACAGGGAGCCAGTGACAATGCAACCAAATTGATGGAAATTATAGGCATGAGTTGCCCCTGGGTGCACATAAATCTTTCTTTCCTTTCAGCAGAAAAAAAAATAGAATGAAGTAAGTAACCCTTGGCACTAAAGTGAATAAATGCACATCAAATGTTGATACTATTGGGTCCTGAATCATTTGCATAGATCCAGTATGAAAGGCCATTAGAAATGTAAAACTGGTTTAGGTGCAAACATGCCTATATACATTTTTCTAACTGAAAAGTTGATGGGACAAGTATCAACTAATTGAACAACTAAGAAAACTAACAGTGAGGCCATTGTCTTCTAGGCAAAATTCTAGGAAAGATTATTTAATACATGGATTTCCATGATTTCATTTTCCCCTTCCCTGATATAATTATTTTAATTTGTGATTCAAAAGTCAAAAAGCAATAAATGATATGGTATGATATTGTGGCAGTAGAAGTTTTTAAAAAAGAACAAGAAGAGAAAATTATCAATTTCTGCAGCACAGAAGAGACCACACTATGTATATTTGCAGCCAGACACGAAGTCAGGAAAGGCCAATGATTTCTTCCCCAGATCTGCTTGGCTCTGGGGCTGTAGTAGCCTGAATAATTAATGTGTGATTTTCCTGGGTTCATAACCTTTAGTCTTTCAGTGCTACCAAATATATTTCTTGATGATATTGAGTGTTCAGGAAATTCAAGGGGATCTGAAAAAGCAAAGGCAATTACTAGCAGTCATTTAACTCAGCTAACTAAGAGAGCACTATACCCGAAGAACACAGGGAATTATACTTGGAGTCACTGTTTGGCATTAGTTAATATATCCTCTTTGTATATTCTTTTCTCCATCCCATAAGGTCCACTTTTCTAGATTGTTTAAATATAACAGGAGATAAGAATGCATAGAAAGGAGGTTTGTGAACTATTATGAGTCCTGCTCTACGAAAATGTCAGCATTACAAACATTCAAAATAGTATCATCAAATAGTACAAAGAACATATGCTAGGTCCAGAGAATACAATGGGAAAACAATAAAAATACAGGTGAGTTGTTTTGTGTGTCACGTGAACCTCAGCTTCCTCATTTATATAATGGAGATAAATACATCCTTTGAGGACTTTCTGAGTTATGAGAAAAAATATATTTAAGGTACCCCATGGCACCCAGGTACATATCAGATTTTCAGTAAGTCTGTATTTTTTCCTCAGTGGAAATATTTATTCATTCCACTGTTCATTTAGACAATAAATGGTAGTTTGAACTGACATTTTACAATGTTATATCTCTCCCAGACAACATAAAATTTCAAGACAATAGGTAAACTTAATTACAATAAAACACATCTGAAGAAGCACATGGAGCCAGTAATAATGTTGTAGAAAGTTGCCTTAAATGCTTTTTGGAAAGGCAGTAAACAAATAAATGATGAATGAATGAATGAATGAATAAATAAATAAACAGAAAATACTAATAATTTAATAGCTCATTTATGTGACATACATATTGAAGCTCATAATTACTATAGTTTTTTTAGAAAATCAGCATAAGTATCAATACATGAAAATTTTAAAGAAAACTAAATTTATTAAAAAAGGATTGTTGTATTTGTTGGCATTTACTTAATATCTTTAAAGCTTCATTAAATTATCACAGGAAATATAATTTACTATTTAGAGCATGGAAAGACTATATTTAGTTTGTAACCCATAAAAATATATAACACTTGACATGGCATTTCAGACAAATGAAAAATTAGAAATAGTCAAAGTACAATAGCAAAATTTGGGAGGTCTCTGTTTTAATTCACACAAATATTCACCATGTAAATATTTTTGTCAAATGCAGAGTTTTTGATCCTCATCAATAAGCAGTTATATCTTTTAAATTGTTAACTACAAATTTGTTTAAAGATAGTCTTGGAAATACATAAAGGCGCTCCTTCCTCCTGGTTGCAAGAGACTAGACTTAGCAAGCAGAGAGTGTGGGATATGGTCAGGGGTTAAGCCATTGCATGGTCCCTGGGGAGGTCCCCACATGCATGTATGCTGCAGCTCCATTTTTACTGCTTAACTTGCATTAGGTGAAATGGTATTTTAGATTGTTAGGAAACCTCATTCATTCTTTCCAGGACATCTCAGAGTAATTTGCCACAGCACCTAAGTGGTGATGCCCAGGACTTCTAAGAATAAAAAACACAGTTTCTGAATTTCCCCAGGAGAATGAACAGTTTTGTCAATCTTAGTTACTGAAAATATGTATTTATACGTTGATCTCACTCCACGTTTTAGTGTGATTCTCATGACTAATGAGCATGTAGGAGTTGTAAATATATTTTAAGTACATTTAGTAAATACTAATTTTATTATGTTAAGTAGCATGACATAAGTGTTGAAATGATTTTGCCTACTTCCACTTCTGTCAAAAAGGATTCAGGGAAAGTTAGCCCCAGTCATGGGATCAATTAGCAATGGCTAGTGGAGCCAAGTAGGGATAATCTGAGAGACTGTGTTTTAAAAGAGGTTGGCTATAGCTTGGTAGAAAAATCAAGTAAATTTTCAAATCAAAGCTCTCTCTGGGCACAATGGGGAAGAGACAGAGACTCAGATTGGAAACCATGGGACCTGGTAGAACCTGGAACTATTTGTGAAGCTAATAAAGCACTCAGTGCCCGATATATTCCTGCCCTGCCTTGGTGATTGGTTGGGAAAGCTGTCTCAGATACCAAAATAAAATTTTGGAATATATATATATTAGGAAAGGGGAATATTTTTCTAGCCCATGTGTGCATTTTTCATCCATTGGCTTCTCTCTCTCTCTCTCTTTGGTGTGGATAATAAATTATTAGTGGTAATTTATTTTGACATGAAGTCTTTCAGCACTTGAACTATTTTTGATTTGAAATTTATTGTAATATTCAAAGAGAATTCTATAAAGTCATCTGAGTTCCCAAATGAGGATGGTTGAAAAGACCCTTAACATAGCTCTGCTTTATTTCTACTATGGATCATCTTAGAGCTATTAAAATAGATTATGAATTCATTCTCTAGGGTACTCTAAATGACATCAGAAAATTAACATGGCAATAGAGAGGTACTTAGTTTACATCTGGAGAATAATAAAAACATTGATAAATGCTATTTCAATGTATTATCATTTTTCAGGTTGTGTATCTATATTATTATAGATTGGTGAGTAAATAAGTCCAAAAATTAGAAGGAGTTTCCATTTGATAAAACTTCAGGGAATTCAGGAAACAGTTTTAATTTAAAGGTTTGATTTCAATTTAACCTACAAGTCTTCTAGAAGAGATGCTTATCTGAGTTGTCATATTTCATCTATTTCTTAGGGCAGAAAAGTGTCAAGAGCTTTCTGAAAACTGGCTTTCTTAGGGAGGAGGATGAGAGCCTTGTACATCTGAGAGGACATATTCAAACCCATTAAATAAGTGACTCAGGTAGGAGTGGTATGCTAACGGTATGCTGGAGTCAAATGTACACAAGTCTTTCTGATCTGGAGTCTAGGAACATTAAGTTGCTACCTTGAAATTGCCTAGAGCAGTGGGTATTTGTATGACTGACAATGGCAAATACTACAAACCACAGCCTTGTGTTTCTCTTTGAAAAGAAAGTTACTAGCATAATCTTGGTCCTACCACAAGAGATTGAGGACAAGAAAAGCCGCTTTCAAAAGTTCTTAATTTAGTTACCTTCTTTTTTAAGTGATAGTGAATCTAAATGTATGGAACCCTTTTTGATTTGTTTCCCTAATCACAGTGGGACAGACTATCCAGAATTAGAGAATGTTGCTAAAGGCTAATTTGACAATAAATTATGACTTTGAGATCTTCTGATCCTCATTTTGCTGGGGTGGGAGTTTGTTCCATATGTTCATTAATTTTATTAGGAAATAAAATGTTTAGAGGCCATTGTTATTCTGTTTTTTATCACTGTTTTGTTTTGCTTTTTCCATAAAAAACTAGTAGGCTAATGAATATATTAGTATACAACCCTAATGACATAGTGTATGAAAATGACTCCTTAGCTTCCACTGACATGTAACCAAGAAGGCATTGATCAATTTAAACAGATAAAATGTGCATTCTTGTCTGAATAAAACAAGAAGAAATATTCCTTTAACTATGCAAGTATTTCCTCTTAGAGTATAGTCAAAAAATTTTCTCTTACAGTATACTTCAAGTATGCCTTCATTTTCATGTAAAATGATGTGAACTGGTTACTTTTCCACAGACCTAAGAAGCGTTAACCATTGCTAGTTTAACTACAAACCTGTTTGTCATTTTATTTCTGTATTTTATTTCTCACAAAGAAAATGGACTGCAGAGCATCAGAGGTGCCAACCACACACTTCCATGCTAATTTATGATTCTCATCTTTTCCAAAGAATCAACTGAAATTTGGTAATAATTTCCAATTCTGTTCTCAGAATGCATCATCAAATGGGGATAGGCCTATCTCCAAAAAAGTAAAAAATAAATATAAATAAAAACAAAGAAAAACAAAAGAAAGGCAAAAATGATTATGAAAAATGAGCCTAAAGCAACACAAAAAGCCATGTACCTGCCCAATCCAAAAAGCAAAGCTCAATCCAAAGAAAGCAGGAACTTGATAATCAGTCTAGCTACAAATACTCATTTAGCAGCTAAGAGTTCAGGCTCTACATTCTTTTCCCTTGTGCTTTTGGGACTCCTGAGAGTCTATAATAAGCAGGGTTGTATGTACAGCCTAAACACATTAAGTGAACAAACAAACATTAATTGGCTTTGGTATGCTGACACATGTAGGGCAGTCCATACTTACTTTCTGAAGAGGTAGTTCTTGATGATCAAATTTAGACTTAGTCTGCAAGTTTAAAGTCATGCTTCTGCCTGCATGCATTGCTGAAATACCTCCATAGGGCAGCATGCCAAGGTTAACTGTGTTGTGTTTGTAAGCAGCATTCTGAGTAGAGGAAATAATCATGTGACAGGGTGTGAACACATGCTCAACAAACTGATTATTACATGAACATGTTTAAATTTATAACATTTAACTTTAAGCAGGCAAACAGTAACTTTCTTTTTTAAACATGCACTTGTTCAGACAAAAGCATACAGTAAACAGTGTTAGTTATGCACGTAATGAATACCATCCAAAACTACAGAAAAGACACAAAGCAAAGATACATTCTGTTTCACATTTGGTGCTAACTCAAAGGCATAAAATCTATCTCTCCTATACACAAGAGTAGTGACTTTGGACAAATACTGTTTATCTGTGGTAGGGTATTAACTTTGAAAATTAAAACTGAAATCTTAATCAAATTTTACCAGTTGTAAATCACATGGCCTCTCATATCATGAGATCAATATCCATGAAAGACAAATATTAACTTCTAATTCTGTTTTAAACTAATGTGTTATTAGCACCAAAATTGGTCTCCTTTATTGCTAGCACAATCTATAGGTATAACGACAGCAATTCCCCAAAAAAAAAAAAAAAAAAGGAAAGAAAGAAATAGAAAAGTCTGTCCCAAATAAATTATTTAATCTAACAACTGGCTTAAATGGACTTACTTATAGGTTTAGCTAAGCAAATCAAATAAATTGTATGTAAATCCAAATATTTCTATTTTTTTAAATTACATTTTAAATGAGAAATTTCATAATGATATTAAAGAAATATGTGTGAATTATTAATGCTATTTATCTGATATACCTAAATGCCTCTGGAATACCTAAAGAACACTCTAGTTATATTTGCATTGTGACTAACTTTCAACAGGTATAACTAAAATTATTCTAGGTGGTTGATACGTAATTTTTCTATAGAATTTCATTTAGAAATTAAACATTTTATCAAATTGTTTCTGCCAAGACAATTTTCTTCTTTTACCTACACTGGAAAAGTAATTATTGATAGTATTTGTCTTCTTTAAGTAGTTTTATTATTTTGGAAAACAATCCACAGAAATTAACTTAGTACATGTTTTTTGTCTAGATATTGTTGAAATTAACAGCAGACAGCTATTATATTCTAAAGGTATTATTTGCAAGGTAATGATTGCTCACCTCCAGGTTTCATTGTGCTACACTGAATGATTATTTAATTATATACTCATTATTATTACACTGATGTTGTGCTTGTCTACCAGTCATATTTTTATGGATTCACGATTATTTTATATAGAGATTTTTTTTTTCATTGTTACCATGCCAAAACTGCAAAGGACACAGAACACCTTGATCTATCATTTGATCCTCCCAGAGGGTTAAATTACGCTTGTCTAGTGATATTCCAGCTCCCATTGAAAGTAGCAGTCTCGGAAATATGGGCTCATGTGTTAACTTCTCTGTCACAGCAGGGTTCTCTAGTAGAAACATGAGCGCTGCGGTTACACTAAGGGATTAAACAAACATCTTTTATCTGGGAGAGTATTCAGAGCTGCTGCTACAAGGTCAACACCAAGATCTCCACCAACAATATGTAAGACTGGTAAGATTATCCAACGTCCAGGCCTTAGGCAGTTGTCTTTAATGTGGAACTTGTCATTGCCTAGTATAACTATTTGATTTGCAGGGTTCAAAAAGCTCCACAAAATTTCCCTGGGAAAGAAGCATACCGTGTCTCTGGTGCAGTCTGACTTCGGACAGAATGTTAAGCAGCACAGCTATGTCAAAGTCAGTTTTACATAATAAGTCTGTGCTTCAGTACTCTGAATTCACCTTACTGAGCAGCTGGGAAGTTTTCAGTAAGCTATAGGCTGAATAGCTCAATAACTCAATTAAAGGAGGGAAAGAAACTTACTTGGAGAAAACAAAAGGAAGAGATTTCCAGCATAGGATGACTTGAGGCAATATGGTAAGGTAATTTAATTTCTAGGACTTAAATGAGAAGCTATTGAATATACATTGAAACTGCCCTGAAAAATGAAAGACAGACCTAGGAAGTTATAAACAAACCAGGGATACGTGGAGACTAAAAAGGGAAGTGTTATTACAGCCATGGAGAATATAAAGATTCACTTTTAGTTATCTGGGATAGAGTGCCTCAGGCTTCTGCTGATTCAAATCCTCCTCCCCCAGTCTTAAATGCCCTCGGGAAACTGCTTTATTTAAAGGATTCACCTACTTCCCAGTAGTCCAGATAAAAGGTGAGTAGCCAATTCATCTGGGACAAGAGTAAATAAATAAAGGAACCACGTGCTTGGAATTTTATCGTTTCCTTTTCATGCTTTTGTTTCTGCTCACGCCTCTGTGGCCTCAAATCATTAGTCATTGTACATATGCTTCAAAAAAGTTCTTACAACCTTTCTTGACTAGTTCATCTTACCCTGTATGTATGGTCGTGTCTACACGAGGCCAGAGTTCCCAAACTGTACTGTATTATTTGGCCCCAAATATTTTCGCCCTCCAAGAAATCTGTCTACATGGAGGGTGTAAGTTGAGGTAAGGCATGGTGACAACCGACCAGGTGTCTCCCACTTACAGCCAGTCATGAGGCTTTGATGAGGCTCCCCTCAGCGGGACTGAGCATACCTATTCGAGACAGACATTCTCATGAAATAATTTTGCAAGACAGAACCAATCTCCACAATGAGAAACTAACAGCCACCCCGCACATTTATCAGTTCATTCCTTTCCTAAAATGCCATTCTCTTGTCATGTAGACACGACCTACAAACAATATAATTATTTAAAAAGAGCAAACCTGAAAGCACAAAATTCAATATTAATGAAATAATCAATGTCGTGACCTGTGCTTTTAGCAGGACACCAAATAAAATAGTAAAGTGATTAGTGAAACATCCTGATAGTATGTTATTACCCAGATCTCCGATTTACACTGAACATTCAAACCTAGAAAATGAGGATAAAGGTTCCATTTTCACACAAAGGATCTTTAAGATTCTAATGTGAATGCAGATCACACAGAGCCCTCTACACCAAAGCCACAAAGTATACTGAATGATGATGGTCAATTGATAATAATTCTAGAAAATGAAATACTACATTTCTCTTAGAATTTTCTTAGATTTGAACAGGCAACAAAAACATTTTTTTAAACTCTCTCCAATTACTGTGCTTTTCATTCTGTGATTCAATTTTCGACTGAATCAGGATTTCTTGCCTTTTTTTCTTGCAATATACACACTAATTTGTACATTTGCACTCTTCATAAAGAGGTCCTGTTTTTGTTGTCTGTAGTATGATTTAAATTTAAACATTTGCTTCTATATAATAGCCAATATTCTAAATGGCAGGATTTTTATTAAATAAAATAATGTGTAGGAGGGCATTCAATCTCTGCTTATTTTATTTTTCTGTTCTTGCGGGGAAGATTATTGCTCATTAGAAGTAATAACTTCAGTAGTCCCACAGCAGTAACTATGTGCAAATTTTATAAACAAATTAGACCTGACTTTAATATGAGGGAATCTGAGCAGAAAAGGGTGAAATACTCACTTTTTATAGATTCAATTAAAATCGTATTCTCTAGGTCACTAGAGAACAATTTTGTGTCCTAGGAGAAGCATTTTGTCTTAATGGCTAGAAAGTGATTGAAGCAACATCCCATATCAATAGTCACATTTTTTTTTCTTTCTACCAATATTTAGGCTAGATTTGATAAATAACTCCCCTACAGGGTGCGGACTCTGCATAAGTAACACCCACAAAAAGCTCTTAGGATCAGTTTCCCCCACAACATAAATAAAATGCTGATCATCTATCCATTCATGTAGTTCATGCTTCACTACATGTGCTTAGAAATGCCAGGAAAGAAAACTAAAGGCAGGAGGGATATTCTTACAGAGAAATGCCAAACATACCCTGTCTAACCTTCTAGCTTCTATATGTCTAAGCAGCTGTTGTCTCCAGTCTGCAGGCATTTTACCACAGCTCTCCTCTCCCTTCACAGGAGTGGGCCTCGTCTTTATATCACTGTTATCTGATGGCTTGTCACCATAGTTACCCAAGTTATAGTCAGATGGTATTTTTTCCAAAAGAGCTGCCATAGTAGGCCTAGCTGAAACTGGCCTGGTTTGGGAGGCCCCGTAACTCTCTGTACTGTAGCTTCTTGCCGACAGTGGCCTCCTCTGGGTAAGGTTTTTAACTGGAAAACTTCCCGCCTGAGCTTTCACTTCTTGATATGAAGGGTGTTCATCTTCATACCTGCCATTCCTCTTCAGGAACTGGGATTCAGTCACTGAAACGCTGCTTTGGCGATCCAGGCCGCCCCTATACGGGGGCCGGCCGTACCTATCGCTCGGGGGCAGCTCGTGAGGCTCACTGACCCTCCGAAACATGGCCATTTCCGTAGAGCTGGCCAGGGAGTCGGCCCTCCTCAAGAAGCCCGCCCGGGCTCCCTGGCTGGCAAACTGGGCATTCACCACAGCATCCTCGTTCACAGACGGCTGCGAAAAGGAAAACATTTGCTCCACCGGTGGGTAGCCTCTGTAAGCCCTGGGACTAACCAGATCCTTGGCCAGGTTTTTGCCGGGCTGTTGCACATACTCGGAATTGTGTTGGAAAGGGGGTGGGATCCTCTTCTCGGCTTTCACTTCCACTGATCCTTGAGGGTTGAAGCTTTGGTCAAACTGATAGACTTTTTTGGTCATGGAAGCTTTTTGCTGTTGTGGTCCTTTGCTGCTGCCGTAAGTGAGCATCTCGTCATCCAGCATGGGGACTGACTGGCTTCGCGACATGCTGGACATGCCGTGCTCTGGTCCCAACATCTTATCGGGGCGTTCGTGGCTTCCCAAGTGATCACTCCCAGTGGCATAGTTTTCTAATGGTATATTATAAACCTTGTATGTGCCGATGTCAATCTCATCAATACTCTGTGACTTTTTGAATTTATTGGACTTGATATCTTTCATGAGTGGGGAGAGCCTCTCTGTGCTTTTGCTAATCGAAACAACACCTTTAGAAGATTCTGGGCGGCAGTGGATTTGAGAAAAGACATTACTAAGACTCCTGTTGGGATTGGAATCGTGGTACTCCCACGGCACTCCAGGAGAAAAAGGACTAGGTATTTCAGCAGGTTCTTTTATATGGTCTTTCCTTTCAGGCAATGGGCTGGTGGTGGGGGTTGACTCTAATTTGGAAGGAAAAGCGGTCCTGTCTTCAAAAGGACTAGGGGTTCTGGTCCAATTCTGCCAGGGATTGGAAGGAGGCACTTCTGATTCTGGGGTGTGTCTGTGTGTAGACTGCTCAAGTTCCAGGGGAACGCCAACAATCCTGTCCTGCCTGATCAAAGGCCGGCGTCCGTGCGAAGGTGCCGCGCTCCTGGATTTGGACCCTAGGAGAGGGTTATTATTGGCATTCTCCGCCGTGGTCTCCTCAGCAACAAACCCCGTGTTATCATAATGCGAGCCATCAGTCCAGTTGTCAGGGAAAGCATCACTCATGGGCAGCCGGTCAGGACGCTGCGGGAGATTCCCAGGGGGAACAGCCTCCCGCTGGCTGAGCAATGGCTTTGAATCAAGAGGCTGTGGGAAAGATTGTGCAATCCTGCAACACAATGAGAAGGAGAAATATGAAGATAAGGAAGATGCGGGTCTTTGCCAGAAAGAGAACAAGTAGCAAGGAAGATCACCATCCTTTGCTGAACTGATCATTCTTACCTCCCTTAGGATTAACATGGTGTCACTGTCTTGTGTCCAGAGACATAAAAAAACCCACCCCTTCTCCCTGCCTTTAGGTGTATTTCTTCCTAGAAACAATCACCTTCTAACACAACACATAATTTACTTACCTGTTATAGTTATCGTATGTTGTCTAGGGTTCTCTACTGGAATGTAAACTCACAAGGGCTAGAATAGTGCCTAGCACAAGGCAGAAATGACATATATATTTGTTGCAGGAGTGAATGAATGAACTATATATATATTACATATATATATAGAAATTCAATAATGGCCCTGAAACCTGACTGAGAACTATAATCACTTGATTGCTGTCACCTAACCATGCAGATTCTGACTCAGGACATTTCTGAGCTATTGGTTGAGAGTACCTTCTTCAGAAATGTATGCTATATCTAATTAATCCAAATTATTTTCAAGTTACGTTTAGTTGAATGCCAGGTCCTGACTACGCAAAATGCCTTTGTATGGAGAACACATTTCAGGTATCATTTTCTGGAATGTAAATTACATTAAGACTTTAGGATGTTAGCCTGTTTCAGTGCGTGACTGGGGTATCTCTAGCAGGTATTCATTTTTCTTAGTTTATTTGAAACCACATGCAGTGTATGGATTGTTCAGAACTTGGCTCCATACAGACATTTAAACCCCAAAATCTTAGGTTATAGCTAATGGATTAGTGTTAATGGTTGATGGAGTAGGGTGGAAACTGGATTTAATTATGGCAGCTGGGAGGGGCCAGTGGGAGGCCTTTAGGTTACTTGCCTCGAGAGGTAGTTCTTGCTAGAGGGTTGGTTATATAAGCCACAAGAACTTGCTCTGATTCTGCTTCCAGGCTCCCCATGAAGTCAGTTCTCCGTGTATGCTCTACCACTGCTAGCCTCCACCAGATGCCACACTCATGGGGACACTCAATTTTGAAAAGTGAGCTGCCAAACTACAAGTGAAAATAAATGTTTCCTTTTCCTCTCAGGTATTTTACTTGAAGTGATGAAATGGTGAGTAATACACATACTAATAATATTGAACTACATGTATTTTATCTGTGAGATAGACTTTTATATGCTTTTGCTAATTGGTAAGAAATGCATTTTGAAGACATCTTCTCAAATTACCTAAATTATACTCAGCTCAAGTAACAAATAATGAATTTCTAAACTTAAGGAGCTGAGAATTTCAAAGTGGGTATCAATGAACAGATATAATTACTTGTGAACCAATAAAGTCCTTGCCAATAGTGGCAATATTTACCAGTAAAATATGAGTAAAAGTTACTAACTCCCAGTACCATGGAACAATTTTTATTTGCTGTTTTTAGGGTAAAACATAGCAATAAATTACAAAACAGGGAAATCAGAACTGGGGAAATACTACTTTAGTGAATCACTTTATTGTGCTTTTGTTTTATCATCTGTAAAAAGAGAGTAGTAAAAAGCAGGAGGCATTTTGGAATGATTAAGTATTTGAAATACATTCTAACTTTCCAGGTGGTAGTGAAATGATGATGATGATGATAACAATGAAAATTTATTGAATGTTTATTCTGTGCCAGGTACATATGTGCTGAACACCACCTTATTTTAATCCATAATACCATTTTGGATGTCAAATATCCAGAGGCCTTAGAAATAAATGTTGGGCAAACACTCAGGCATCTTCAAAAAGTTTGTGAAAGTGCAGGTTTATGAAAAATTATGCATGCATTTCAATTTTTTGAATCAAAATTAACTTAATTACATTACCACAAACTTTTTGAAGTTCTCTTGTATGATTGATCTTTAAAATTATTTATCTTAATTATTGTCTCATTCTGTTTAACTCCTGCCGTCTCTCCCTAATCAATGGCCTCAGCCTGTCAGACAGATTCATTTGCCCTTGGAAGTCCCAGGTGAACTCCATTTTGCTTACCTGCCCCTTTTGTCTTCTGTGCCACTCATGTGTTGATTATAATTCCCAAATAAGGAGACTTTATTTTTTAACAGTTGCTGAAAATAAGCATTTGGCAACAGAAAAGAGGGCATTCTAAACACACCTGTTACCCCACAAAGAATTATGTACTGCATCTTTAGCTGTTGTCTGCAAGGACCCCACTTTAACCCGGGTGTTAGAGGATGCTGAGGAAGCCTGGGACGGCGAGTAGTCTGAGTAAGTGCCTGAGGAAACACTGTTATTCAGACAGTGAGTTTTGTCAACTTCAGACTCATCAGTTGATTCTGAAATTTAAAAGGGAAACATGTTATGCTACGAACACTGACAGTTGCAAAGCACAGAAAAGTAAATATGAAAAAACAGATTCCATACCGATTAATGTTAGAAAAGCATACTGGTAAACTATTTTTATGGGCTATGGCGTATCATAATTTACACGTGGTGATTCGTCATGCACATGCATTCACGGCACATGTTCCACATCAGGTGCACAGTGTTACCTTTTTTGTCCTTCCCTAGCAGAACAAGTTTGGGTGGGTACAGAGGGGTCTCAGCTAATGAAGGGTGAAGTTCCCCAATCCTCATTTCATTAGCTGGATGAACAAAAGAATCCTGAGAGATATAATAATACAGGACAGGAAAGTAAACATTTCGACAGTAGGTATCCAACGTGGCAATATCTATTTGGCTCAGATGCAAAGATGTGGCTTGAGAATTATTTCACTGTGAGGCATTGTGAGACATGAACCATAGATACATTGAGTTAAGCAGTATTTTCTTTTCTAATTTAAGTGAGTCCATTTATTTGTCAGACATGTTTTGAATGCTATTTATATGCCTGGCACTGTGCAAAGAACTGTGGAGGTTCCAAAGAAAAACCAAATGTGGCCTGTGCCCTCTGAGAGTTTATAGTCTAGTTGGCAAGATGTGATATTAACTCATTATAAAACACAGGGTTGAGTTATGACCAACCATATATGATTAGCATGATCACACACAAACACACATATATATATGTACACACATACATATAAGAGTTCCAAAGAGTAAACTCGAAGCGTTCTAAGGCAACAGTATATATTGACCAACTAGAGACTTGTTGTTTTGCATCCCTAGCCACGTTAATGCCACTGTTGGGGACTCTAAGTCCTGGTCTTTCTGTCACTCATCTTAATTCATACTTTTCTCAAATGATCACCTCCTCAATTTCTCTAGCTCTACTATGCCTTCTTCCTAAAGTTTCTAATTTTCTCATGACCAATTTATCTTACTAAATCTTCCTCTTACAGCCATTCACTGAGTGTCATGAGCAATGCTGCCACATGACTATAACTTCACAATGACAAACGAACATGTTAAAAAAAACCCCAAATCCTCTTGAATGTTAAACTTCTGTTACTCATAGTAGTATTCCTAGTTGACTAGATAGTGAGAAACCATTAGGAAAGGCAAAATACCAAATTCTCACTGTCTGCCTTTTATATGACCATACATAGGTAATGATGTAAATTCATGCTTGGCAGCCACCATTATATCTTTTTTCCTATAAACTTTACATTAACTTGAATTCAAAGAAGAATTTTGTTTATTCATTTGTTTAAAATCTTATTAATTTGGAACATTTAATGTAACACATTTGGAAATACTTTAACTGAGAAATGATATACTTGAGGACAAAAACATAATAGATTTAAAAATTCCTGACTTAAAATTAATTGGTTGATGTACTGAACAGACAGAAACTCTTATTATAAATTTCATATATTGTCAAGGACCGCCCACAGAGACAGGCTTGCTCAGGCAGTGAAACATCAATTTCTTTGACTGTTGGCTTAAGTTCTATCTGTTTGCCTTTTTTTTTTTTTTTTTGGTTAGGCTTGCAAGGGTATATCTGATACTTGCTAATTTTTTAAGAAGAATACTTCTATAGAAGAAGATTCACTGTGTAGAAGAGATTCTGAGACTCAGCTCTGGCCTGGCTTCACACAGATAATTAGACAAAAATTGAGCCTTGATGCAGAATTCTCCTGGGTTCCAGTTCAGTGATATTCTTTCTGCTGAACTCAAATATGAGCTTATTAGGGGTTTAAAATGCAGAATCAGGTTTGAAGAAGATAGGAAAGTGAGTGAGATTGAAGAAAATTCTGGAGCTGAAGAGGGAAATTTCTATTTTAATGGATTTTGAAAATCATTTTGAATTTTAGCATAATAAACATGATAACATTTTAAAGTGACATCCTAGAGAATCAAAACCTTCTACATGTTTGGAGAAATTTATAAACAGAAGATGTAAGATTGAGAAACAGTATATAAAAGGCACAAAAATGTTTACTTGTCAAAAAATGTCAGTTACAAGATATTGTATTTTCATGTTATTTTTGCTTTATCATTTATTACTCAGGTTACCTTGGGCAAGTTAAAGTATCTTTCTGGGCCTTATTCAGTTGAAATGATATTATAAAAAGGAAATAGTCTTGTGAAACCTAATAAAATTATAGGAATCTTAGTGAAATATGAAGCAAAATGAAATAGAATTAAAAAATAGTTGCATAAGCACAAAATGTAAATATCATTATGGGACTCACTTTTTGTTTTTCTCATTCCCTGTGCATTCCATACTCAAGTCACCTTATTTGTACAGATCAAGCTTTCAAACTTGTGACTGGAACTCTGCATAACAGCTATGGTCTACCTCAAGTACAAGTCTAATCCTGCTCAATAATTTCTATCGTGAATCAAAAGGAGCCTTAGTGACTGGAGAAGGACACCATTAAAGCCAGAACAATGAATCTGCACAGACCCAGGTAGACTCTCATCATTATGAGCAAAGTGATGCTGATGATAAAGATGGTGATGATGATGATGACCATCAGGAATGGAGCATTGATTATATGCTTGCTACTGTGCAACTATGCTAAACACTATGTTATTTCTGTTAATTGTGTAAAAGTTATACTTGGATATACTTGTTTTTTTACTGTTTCATAAAAAATTTATTTCCTTGTTTTTATTTTATTTGCGAGATAGAGAAGGGGGGGAGGAAGAAGAGAGAGATTGTTCCACAAATACTCATAATATCCAGGGCTGGGCTAGGCTAAAGCCGGTATCCTAGAATTCAGTCCAGGTCTCCCATTTGGCTGGCAGGTATCCAACTACTTAAGCCATCACTGATGCCTCCTAAGGGAGAGTGTCAGTAGAAAATTGGGATGGAAGTGGAGCTGGCACTCCAACCAAGGTTCTTTGATATGGGATGTAGGCATATACAAGCCGTGTCTTAATTTCTGTGCCAAATGTCCACCTCTCATCTTCATTTTACAGGTAAGAAAATGGAGTTATGAGAGGTAAAGTAATAATTCCAAATCAGAAATTTAATAAGTAGCAAAGCCAGAATTCGAACTGGTGTCTGTTCTACTTGAAGGTCTTCTGCGTGATACTGTGTACACCATATTATCTGCCCTAAGAAAAGCTCATTTCTCAAAAGGGCTTCACAGAACAAAGTTAACTACCCAGTAAGTGAATTTAACCATTGACTTTGTCTTTATAAATTCTTTTTGGTAAAGATTTATGTATTTATTTGAAAGGCAGAGGGACAGTAGAAAGAGAGAGACAAAGATCTTCCATCCACTGGCTTTCTTGCCAAATGACCCCAAGAGCCAGAGCTCCGTCATTCCAAAGCTAGGAGCAAGGAATTTCAACTGGGTCTCCCACATGGGTGGTAGGGGCCCAAATACTTGGCTATCATCTGCTGCCTTCCCAGGTACATTAGCAGGAAGCTGGATCCAAAGCAGAGTAGCTGCTTGAAGTGTCACTCTGATATGGGATTCTGGTGTCCCAAACGGCGGCTTAACCCACTGTTCCACAATACTTGTCCCTCTATAAATTCTGTTATGGAGGCTGGAGGAATTAAGTTCATGTTGAAAAGGTGGGCAAAAATTTGAGAATTACTGGTGAAAATGATTGTTAGGGAATGAAATTTGGTGAGAGTCCCATTATAGCACATTGAACCATATTTCATTCTGGTACAGCAGACAGAAATGGAAGGGACAGAAAAAGTAAGTTCTCTTTTTAGTCCATTGCCCTTCCTCTTCCACTATTTAAACTAAATCTTGGCTGGTACTGCCATAGAGAAAGAAACCTAAGTTTGAAGTTAAAATGAAAAAAAAAAAAAAGTTTAGTCCAGATCTAGTATCACTAGAGGCACTTTAAAGAAATGTTTAGAGATAATTGATTATCCTCTATTATTGGACGATAGATGTGTTTCCTCTACAGAGAATTTGGAGTTCCTCAACAAAAGGAAAAGTTCAGAGCATGTTTGAACATGGTCAGCAGTATCCAGTTAGCCATCTGCACAGGCTTATAGGAGGATGTGGCTGTAGTTGGCATACCATCGTCTTGAAGAAAAGGAGGTAATTATTTACTACAGCTTTTTCTGTGCTAAAAGCTTGGAGATGTATATAAATATCTGTTACCATCTGATTTTATCTCCACAATATTCTGAAAATTATTATCTGTATTCTAAGAGATACAGAAACTATGTCTCAGAAAGATTTAATGATTTGTTTCTCAAGGTCATCCAGTTGGTAACAAGGTAGAGCTAAGATTTCAATTCATATCTGGTCCCTTGGTTCCCAAATTGCATGGGTGCTGTTGCTAATTCACAGAGACACCATGGCTCATATTAAATGTTCAAGGGAATCAAAGCAATATTTGACATCAGTCAGACACTGTAAAAAGTGCTAGTTCGAGGTAGTTCTCCATTTCAACATTGCATTGCATATTCTTTTGGATGACAGTTCTTGTGAAGCTGGGTTGGGTGGTTTCTCTGATCAAAATTTAGCAAGTGCTTCTTGAAAATCAGTGTGGAAGAGACAATAGAGTTGTGGTGCCCTCTATACTTTGGTTTAAGAAGGGAGGCAGTGTCTAACAAGTGTAAATATCTCAACCTTTTTTGGCTTTGCTATTTAAGAATGAAATACAAATATTATTTTCTCTTTCAACTGACATGTATTATTTTTCAAATGGCCACTAGGTAGGGCATCAGTATTTACCGAGCTGTGTCTAACTATCTAAAGGGAACTATTAGGTATTTCTTTGAACAAAATTACTTATATACTAAGCATTTGTATACAAAGAGGTTATTCAACTTAACAGATAATAAAGTGTGGATAGGTAAGGCAGCCAACAATCAATTGATAACTAGTATAACAATAACTCATGTGGTCTTTGACTTCAATAAATTTCCAATTGGATGGAGAGACACACAAGTTTACCAGAGTTACAATACTAGATTTTCAATCATTTCTTTATCTAGCACAACAGATTTTATTGTGTTTCTACTGTGCATAAGGAATTGTGCTAGACACTGGGGTTACAATGATGGACAAGAAAAGGACCTTGCTCCCTTGAAACTCAATGTGTAGGGTTGGTGCTGTGGTGTAGCGGGTAAAGCTGGCACCTGCAGTGCCAGCATCCCCTGTGGGCACTGGTCGAGTCCCGCTGCTCCACTTCCAATCCAGCTCTCTGCTATGGCCTGGGAAAGAAATAGAAGATGGCCCAAGTCTTTGGGCCCCTGCACCCACGTGGGAGACCTGGAAGAGGCTCCTGGCTCCTGGCTTTGGATTGGAGCAGCTCCACCATTGTGGCCAACTGAAGAGTGAACCACCAGATGGAAGACACCTCTCTCTCTCTCTCTGCCCTCCTTCTCTCTCTAACTCTTTCAAATAAATAAATAAATCTTAAAAAAAAAAAAGAAACTCACAATGCAAAGTCAATAAAAAATGTTTCCACTGTATTTACTGCAAAGAAACAGGATGATGTGATGGAGAAAATCAGAGGGTCTGACTGATGAGAGTAATCGGGGAAGACTTTTCTTTTGAGGTGACTTTAAACTGAAAGTCGAAGAATGAGGAAGTGCTAGCCCTATACAGAGCTATGGGAAAGGCAAATGCAAATATCATAAGGCATGACAAGGAAAATGGGAGGAGAGAGAGGATCGTCATATCTCTTCCTTGTTCTTATGGCTCTCTCAGCCTTACTCTTTGTCTAGCATAACACATGTTAAAACTCTTGGCAAAGAACTGGCAACTAGAAAGTAAAAAATAAATGTTGATTTACCTTTCTTTTTACATTTTACTTGGCTACATTTGTAATCTTTTTTTTAAAATTTGTCCATTCATTTGAGAGAGAGAGAGAACTCCCATCTGCTGGTTCACTCCCAAAGTGCCTCCTTCAACAGTCAGGTCTGAGCCAGGCTGAAGCCAGGTACTGAGAAATCAGTCCTGGTCTCTCATGTGGTTGGCACAAACCCAATTACTTGAGCCATCATCTGCCATCACCTGGGGTATGTATTAACAAGAAGTTGGAATTGGGAGTAGAGCTGAGATTCCAACCCAGGCACTCTGATGTGGATGTGAGTACCTAACTAGAATATTAACTGCTGTGCCAAATGCCTGACCCTGTACTCTGTTCACCTTGATTTTTTTTCTGCTTTCTTTTTATGATTTGGTTTGGCTCTGTTTTTTGTTGTTGTTGTTGTTGTTGCTTTCCATATGTAATCACATCAGTGATAAATATCCCATGCAATGTATCAAACTTTCTCTTATACTGCAGTGTGATCTAAATAATGACGACTAAGACATGGCACACATGTCCAAAATAGATAATGCTTACCATACATTGATCAGCAGAATCCTTGGGTTTCTGCATTTGTTAAATCTGGACTTTGGAATAATGGAGTGGGACCTTTTAATTTGGCTTCGGTAATTTGAGAAGAGAGGATTATAATGAAAGCAACATCTTGATCTAGGGTGGCTAAGGTGTGTGAAAGAAGATCTAGAATCTCAATTTTAAAGTACTGAAATTACCAGTGAAATTTCAAGAAGAAAAAGAAGAAAAGCAAGAAAGGGGTGGGAAAAAATCACACAAATAAATATAAAGCCTAAAGTTGTCCTTTGATCGTATCCCTTTATAGCATAGCTACTCCAGCTAATTAAAACGTTCAGAATTTATGTGGATGAAAGGAAGCCATTGTAGCATTTTTTCAAAAGGGCAAGTATATGATTAGATACGTATTTCAGAAAGACCTTTGGCAAGGCAACAAGGAAGCTGCAAGCAAGACAGCCAAGAGACTGCCAGTTACTACAGTACTGCAGGACAGAGTTGAAGGCCCGAGAGAGAGGAGATGCACCAAGGTGAAAATGCACAGGTTTTGAAAATTATTTGAAAAGAACAGGGAGTGGACACAAAGAAGGAGAAAGAAATCAGGATACCGCCCAAATTTGGGGAATGAGTGAGCTAGTAGATAATGGTTCCAGCTGAGATCAAATTCAAGAATATAGAAGCAGGGGTTGCATTTGCATTGTTGTGTAGCATGTTAAACTGGCATCCTAAATGGGTGTTGGTTCGTGTCCCGGCTGCTCCACTTCTGATTCAGCTCCCTGCTAATGCACCTGGGAAAGCAGCGAAGGATGGCCCAGTGCTTGGGCACCTGTGACCCATGAAGAAGACCCTGATGGAGCTCTTGGCTTGTGGCTTTGACCTGGCCCAGCTCTGGCTGTTGTAGCCATTTAGGGAGTGTACCAGTGGATAGATCTCTCTCTCCATCTCCCTCTTTCTCTGTGACTCTATCTTTCAGATATAAAATTAATAAATCTTAAAAAAAAAAGAATATGGAGCAGGGGCTAGAATTGTGGTGTCCTGGGTGCAGGGGCCCAAGGACATGGGCCATCTTCTACTGCTTTCCCAGGCCATAGCAGAGAGCTGGATCAGAAGTGGAGCAGTCGGGTTTCGAACCAGCACCCATATGGGATGCCAGCGCTTCATGCCAGGGCGTTAACCTGCTGCACCACGGCGTTGGCCCTTGATTTTGGATTTGTTAAGCTTGAAGGACTATTTGAAAATTTATTGTTTCTACTATTGGATACTAGTAATTAATATAATAATAATTAAATTAATGACCAAAGTCATCTTCTCTGCCTTACCTATCCCATTCCTGAATTAAGCAATTTTAGGATTTTCTTAGTTTTACAGTAAAATGACTCAGTTTATAGGTTTTTATGTCTACACTGTTATTTTGATGATATACTATGATTACAGGAGATTTAAATATAAAATATATGTGTAGTCACACATATATTATATGTATTTGCTTTCCTTTTTATATTGTTATAATATCTTAATGACAAAAGTCTGGTGTTTTTGCCATTGTATATGTGTAATCTTTTGGAAAAGAGAAAGTATGACAACACTGATTTTATAAGAACAAGCAATGAAAATGAATATTTCAGAGATTTTCTTAGATACCCTGTTGTAATTCCTTTTCCTGGAGCTGACTGGCACCCTTTGCTGTCAGATGTGCACACTACATGTATCTTTGCTTAAAATCTTTCCCTTGCCTGGCACAAACTCCTCCCTTTTTCACTTTAAAAGAATTACCCAGGGGCTTATGCAGTGAGTTAAGCTGCTTTCTGGTTTGCTGGCATTCCATGTGAGCATCTGTTTGAGTCCTGTCTGCAATGCTTGCAATACAGCTCTCTGCTAATACTCCTGGGAAAGCAGCAGTGGATGGGTCCAAGTGTTTGGGCTCCTAACACCCATGTGGGAAACCCAATTGGAGTTCCAGGCTTTGGCCTGGCAGAGCCCTGGCTGTTATAGCCATTTGGGCAGTGTACCAGCAGATGGAAGGTCTCTCTCTGCCTTTCAAATAATAAATCAATCTTTAAAGAAAAGAATCACTCAGGCAGTTAACCCTTCACCTAACGGTATTATATTCTCTGCTACACAAACAACCACATGATCATATTTTATGTGATACGTTCTCTAATCACTGCATATGTGTTAAATTTATCAGGTTAGGCTTTAAATTATTTGAAACTAAGGACACATTTATATTTCTTTTCTCTCACAGTGTTTAGCATAGTGCTACATATATAGTTGGTGTCTAATGCAACAAATTGATGGTTTGAAATGCAGATTTATAAGAGTTTCACTGACCTAGATTTTTGAGAAGATTTTTAAGAACTTCTAGACTTACTCATAGCAATTATGCTTTCAGTGAAGATAAAAGGATGATAAATAAGAGTTGATGAGATAATAGAGGTGGCATAAATGTAGTTGAATTCTTTTCAGACTGCACAAATAAACACATTCCTAACTCATTCAAAAATACACTTTTAATTGTCATATGAATAATTTCATAAGCTTAAATTTCAAAGTTATCTTCCTCTTTTGTTGTTAATAGCAGTGTTTCCTATAATTCTTGCAACCCCAAAACAAAAACATTTTAAAAAACTCAAAGACTGATTAGGGATTTTACTGTGAATTTCAGAACAAATAATCTTTGGTCAGTACTTCCTCATGACTGATACAATAAAAGTTTGGAGTAGCCTAAATAATAACTCTAATATAATGCACTCACTGAGCAGGTGTAGTTGGGTGACATAGGTCTAGTTGAGTGACAAATTATTTATTATGTGTGTATTGGAACTTTTGGAGCTGTTTTAGTGAGTATAAGCTATGAGGGTATCATTTGTGATTTTTAAAAGGCAACCCTCATACCTTGAAAGAATAGACATTATATTTTAGGGAAAATGCACATATCAAGGAAGGTCTATTCAGTAAAAAATGATCACTTATAATTCTAAAAAATCCAAACCACACTGTCAGTTACCAATAACCTTCAAATACCTCCACTGTAATTTCCTTTGGGGCTACCGGCCACTTGTGTTCATATTTTTCTTTCACAGTTTGCTCCGTGTTAGCAGTTGGATTTGAATTCTCAACACGCACTCCATGGCTTGGCTTACCCACCAGATTTTGAACAGATTTTACCATATTCTTTAAATCCTCTGGGTAAGGAGTTGGGTATCGTTTTAGGTTTATTTCAACCTAGAAGTTTATAAAAAGACATTTAACATAAAAATAACTTCAGCAAGCAGGTTCACAAAACTAGTCCATTTTATGTGCAGAAGTATAACCAAATGCAATACAGTGAGTGTTGAGTGGGCTGAGAAACTGTGCTATGGAGTAGAACAAAAAGTGTTCTTCTCACATACAGCCTCGTGGGACTTTATCCTATTCCTTCCCATCCTTCTAGATTATAAACAACTTTTGTATTATATTGTATCTTGAGACCTACCCTGAAATAACAGTAGGTCAAATAGTTAAGTGATTGGTAATCTCCAAAAAACTTAATTGTTATTATCAGAGGCTTTCATACTTCCCTATTTTAATATATTTGTAAGTAATAATTTTATATTAAGACTATCTTTGTAGTATCAATGCAAATAATGGGAATAGACCCCAAAAGATTTATTAGTAGGGTTGTGTATTAGAAATGGACAATCAACAATATCTGCTGCATAAATTGTACTAGCTCAAATATATAATTATCTTATTATATCAAAAATTAGAGTAGCTAATTTTTATTAATGACTTAAGAAAAAAAATGCTTCAGCATCGTTTTTATATTTAGGTTTTTATCCTAGTCAAATAACATCCATTTTGAATAATCTTATACTAGTGGGAAATAAAAATTACAGATCATATTCTAAGATATTTTAGGTAAATGTGTAAATTTCAAATTGTATTATCCAGATATTTATTTCCATTCTTGAATTCATATTTGGGATGTCACTGTGACAGGTAAGAACACATATTAATGACTATTATTAGCACTGAACTTTGAGAGAGAAAGTATAAGACATTCCAAATAGAATATCTACTATCAGAGTACTTACTTTTATCTCAGATAGAATAAATACAAGTTGTCCATGTTGACTGAAAAGGAGTGGGAGGAAAAACAAGGGGTATATGTACTTGGCCTGGCTTGCTCCTATCATGCCATTTTACATCTGAGTAGAACCAACTTGACAAAATGGAATGATTTATGTGATTGTAGTGAGCATGTATTTGTGGGAAGTATGTGTGTGTGTATTGTGGGGGTCGGAGGTGGGAGGAGAAAAAGGAGAAGAAAAGCCGAAGGAGCAAGAGGAAGAGTGGGAAAAAGAAAGAAAGAGAGAAACAGGCAGACATGCACATATCCACCCATACACACCCGTGTAATTCATGGAAGGTAAGAAACTATGATCGTGGAATTGATCTGAAGATTATGAAGAGGAACTCAAGCACTTTTGCTCATCTGCAGTTTTAGCAAATCCACCAACTGCATTATTCTTCTTAGCATTTTGTCTTCCTTGTGGCTTATTGTCCTAATCAAATACTAGGATTAGACTTCATGGATGATTGCTAATATTTCTTTCGATTTACTAAAAATATAAAATTCAATTATTTTTCTAATACATATTAGGAAAGAGGATGAAGAGCCAGATAATTTTGTTGGTGTGTTGTTTTACTGTAGTTTAACCTCTTTAACACTCACAAATAAATAAGGATGCAGTTGATAATGTATAGAAATAAAATTATAAAAATATAACCAAAGTTAGACTTACAGAAAAAGTATAAATTGTTACAGTATCATAGAAATAGATTCCAGTGCATTTATAATGCATTCTTAAATAAATTTAAGAAAATGACATACATGCTAGACAAAATGCACTGGAACTCATACATTCTTGCATCTGATGTATAAATTGGCATTAGAAGTGTAAATGACAAATTAAACCCAATTTAAGAAGGGTATTTTTGAAGTTGTTTAAGAATACTTGACACCAAAGGGCTAAATTAAAAAGCTTCATTTAAAAATGTAAATTGCAGAGTGTTATGAGTATCATGCCAGTTAAGAACATCTTTTTATTTTGAATAACCAGTGGTATATGAATGAAAAAAATCATTGGAAGCATGGCATGAAATTCAAATTCTAGGCAACACAATATCCTCAACCCTGAATTACATTTATTAAATGAATAGAAGGCCAAAGAAATGTGCAGTGTTCTTCCTGAATTGAATTAAATACTTCTTTTTGTAGCTGCTTTGTCCCATCTCACACAATTAGATGACTATGAACAACCACAGCACTAACCGTTTCTGATTACTTTTTAAGCAAGTCATTGTGATACTTGGGTTAATCACCAGAATATCTTTGGGAATTTATTTCTGTGAAAATAGTTTCATCTAGAAACAGGCTTGCTGTGAATCTAGTGAAGCCTAGGCTACAGGGCCTCTCACTTTTACATGCCTCCTTCCAGAACCTTGTGAGGGTTCCCATGTCTGTCTTTACATGATCACTTTGGATTTTATTTCTTCAAACAGATCCCTCTCCAAGTTGTGGAATCTGTAGGTCTCATAAAACTTGGATTTGTTTCACCTAGAAAAATCAGCATTTTGTTTCCCATTTATAAGTCTCCTAAAAGAATTTACTGGACTTAGAGTCAGATGTAAATTTAAGCCACATTTACCCCCAGTTAGCTACCAAACACTATTTTTGTCATTTCTACTCCCGTAAAATGAGAATGAGACTATCTTTCCCAGGTATTTGGGTTAACTTACAGCTAAATAAGGTAAATTGAAGGTACTTTAGAAATGTCTGAATTCTATATAGCGATTACTTTTTCAATTATCATAATTTATATGATATTTTTAAAGTCTGAGCTCCTTTGACAATCTGGATTCCATATGTCTACCCATACTACCTGTAACCGTGTGGGTTGTTTTTTCAGACTGTATGCCTGAAGAATGATAATTTATTACTAACTACCACATGTCAGGCACTATACTAAATGTTTTATGGAAATATTTAATTTATTATTAATTATTTATATAATAAACTTAGAATATTTATTATCAGTCCCAAAGGTTAAATATAAATTAATATTTATAAGTTAAAAATGCTATTAATTATAGAATTAATCATTATTTAAAATGTGATTTAAATTACATAGCCCATTACAGCAGTTCTTCTCACTTAGCAAACAGAAAACTGAGACTCAGTGTAAATAAATTGCCTCAGGTCATATAGCAATGAACAGATTGAAACTCAACGCTTTTCGGACTTCAAGGCTTGTGTTATACTCATGTTACCTAGCTCAGAGTTAGTCCTTGTATGCTGCACATATTTGCATAATCTTTTGGAAGAAATTCGACAAGTCAAATATGTGAATTTTACTGAGTCAAAAAACAAGACAATTTCAGTTTTATAAAAAATAAAGCTAAATAATACTACTTTATGTATTTTTAAAAAATAGACCTGTGCTATTTTATCATTCTACTCCAAGTTCTATACAAGCACATTTATGGCTTTTATAAATTGTTTTGCCTTCCTTTTTTTTGTCTTATGCATATAGTACTTCTGAAATAAATAGACATAATCATAAACTAGTTATATTAATAGTTTTGTAAAACCCAATACAAAATATTTTTATATTTCTAAATATATAGGCTAGAAATAATCCCTTGTAATAGTATGGGATTAAAAAAGATATAAATTTATTTATTATACAGATAGGTGGGAAGATCTGTCAATTATATTCTTACAAAAGTGTCTCATTTATCACTCACTATAAAGTATTTGCTCATGTCACATATACATTTAAAATGCAGGATTTTTATTGAAATATTACTTTAATTTTGGAAAATAGAAATATTTCACAACATTGTATGCATCTCAGATCTAAACAAAGTGCAGTAAATGCAAATAGTAGCTGCAAGATGTTGGAGACCCCCAAAATTTAGTATAATGAGGAAAGAATTAATGTTAATAGCTAGGGCATTTAGAAATGATATCTTGAATTCATGCAGAACTTTGTTTTTCATATATTATATTCATATAATATATTTCATATCATGATTGAATTCTAATTTGCTTTGATTGTGAATTCCAGTAAGAGAAACAATAATTCATGATTTGATCATTGGTTGCTAAGTGTTTTGTATGTTAGGAATTAATTGGAAAGCTTTACACACAAAGAAACCCTAGGGCAGTTTTAGCTAGGAAAATGCATTCTCAGTTTGCCTTATATTGTAGAAAGAATATAAGACACATATTGAGAATCTAGTGCATTACATATAGACAGGATAGTTTATAAAACACAGTGTTATTTCATTTTCCATTATGACATGTTTTTCCCTCGTTAACCTCTTAAGTGATGAAGCAGCCCTATTTACCACAAATCCCAACTCAATCTTCTCTTATAGGAATTCATACCATCTGTATCTTCAAATGAAAGGAATTGATGCTTCTCAACAAATGTTTATCTTTGTGCTCAAAGTTCACTCTCAGTGAATCTCAATTTACATCTCATCTTATTTGAAGAATCAAATTTTAGCTACTTAATCTTCCCCAGAATTGACATTTTAAGAAATGTGCGTATGTGTGGAGGACAGAATTTAGATTGTATCAATAGAGTGTGTCATCAACATTCTGCCCGACTATTGGTATTCCCACACTTTAATAAAAAAAATCCTTAAAAATGAAAATGAAACACCCAACTCAAAAACCATGCCAGAAATCCCACCAATAAGCACCTCACATTGATGAACCCAATCCCCTGACTCAGTCCTCCCCAGCCCATTGCCAATGTGAATAAGGAACACAAATTAAATTGCATCAAACACTGGCAAATTCAGATCTCTGAGATCAGCATTTCTCATCCCAAATCATGCAGAACATACCCCATAAACCACTGTTCCAAGGTTGCCTCTACATGGGGGATTCTCCTACCCCAAACACCTAGGCCTACCTGTCTGCCACTTAGAGAGGGAAGAGTGGTGGACTGTGCTGCAACTGGCAATTGAGTACACATGCTCCTTTCCTGCTGGAGGCCACTTATACAACCCCATGCCAGCTGTGGGTCATTCTGGGGGACGGGCATATCTTGGATCTGCTGATCACACCTGGCCCATGGTGTGCAGCAATCGCCAGACAGTCTGGCAGGTTGGAGAGTAATCCCACGCTGGCCCCTTTCCCATGGGGCTTGGCAGGAGAGATCCTGTGGGAGAAGGAATCTCCATTTTCTGGGAGAAAGAGGAGCACTGTAGCAATACTACTTTCACTTTATCATTTTTCTACACTAGATTTTTTTTTCTCTCTCTCACTCTGGGTAATGCATTTAAAACAACCATCCTAGATTTAATTTTAAATTCATGTAACAAAACAGTACCAATTTCTTCATACAATGTAGCTTTATACTACACTACACACACTATGAATAAGCACAGCATTATACTATAGTCCATTTGAAAGCTGATAGTATAAGGTCAATGATTTACTTTTACATTTTGTATAAATTAAAGGTAAAATGGTGCTAAACTTAATGTCCACATAAAGAACCAGAAATGATTCAATATAGAATTTCAGTATATTCCATTATTCATACTCTCCTTATGGTTTATTTAGAAGTTTGTTTGTGTTCTAATTTGTGCAATTCAATGGCATTGAAGGTTTCAGAAACACACATTTCACCAACTTATAAATAAATCAAATGCAAATAAGATTTAGAGAAAACTAAAGTATAACGAACCTAGTCTGTTTATAAGTAAACCTAATAATATAACACAAACAGGGCTTCTAAATAATTGTATTTGCTATATTTTACATTTTCATTGACACATATACTACCATGTATTAAAGACACCTTTCTTTTAGTATCCCGTGAGTATAGCTTTTTAGAAAAAAATGTATGTAGTTTTGACAATTCACTGGAATATAATAAAGAATAAGAGTTCCAATACAGAATGCATCATCCATCAGTTCTACATTTAACATGAAATCCTTAGAAGAATAGACATTCTAAAGGTTTCTTTTTAGTTTAGTAATGTTTTTTTTCTAGGAATTCACAAGTTAAAAAAAATGTCTCTTTGGTTGTTAGATATCACTAATTAACAATCCAGAAACATTTTTTTAAAACCCAAATCTTTAACAAAACTACCATTTGGGATTTGGGAATCCATTTTGGGTTTTCCATGATATAGATAAGTTTTGTCAGTAAATGCCCAATTAGCTTACTGTGTGATTCTAGTAAGATTCGTTAATGTGTTGTTTTAAGAAATGAAGTTTAGAAAATGTGGGAAGGAGATACAGAGAAGAACATATCACAAATCTAGATTTATTAATAAGATGCACATACATTTACTTTGGTAATTAGTTACTAAGAGTGACAGCTGTTAGTATCCATGATGGAAAACATGCACAAATAATATTATAAAATATTATGGGAGATTCAAGATGTTGCTATGATGATATCATCAAAAGCTGTAACTGATAAAATCTACATAAGTTTTGATAATATTTGAAATTAGAGATGAAGGGAATATATGTTATTAGAATTGTGTCTATAAATCACATTGAATCTTAAAAACTAATTAAAAATTAAAATTAAAAATTATATAAAAATTAAAATAATGGAAAAATATAGATTTTTCAGATTCAAACTTCTTCTTTAAATTAATCCCAAAATGTTTTTATAAACATGCCCTTTGGTAAAAAAAATATGAATTTATTTTTCCTAAGCAACATCACCCACCGTTAGGCATGGAGTCTCCTTTAAATTTTGTCATGCTTATGGAAATTCATAAATTCTTCTCAAATACTCTAGGGACATTAAACTTTTCAGAAATTTTAATGTTACTATAATGTGCTAGATAGCCAGCCATTCTATAAATGTGTGTTTTGGGCTCATATAGTTCACATGATGTTTTGCTCAGAAAACCATTACAGGATGTCAAAAATAAAATTCTTAGGTAATGTGTGATGTAGTGATGTAAACCACCAGGCCTTTTATTTTTTAATTTTCTCACAGCTTGAATCTCCCATTATTCTGGAGGATGGGTAGCATCTCAAATTTCTCAGGAGAAGGGTGGCACTTGTCTCATTCTGAACCATATCAGTACTTTGGGAACAACCAGCTGCAGTAATGAAAGGTATTGCCACAAGTCTTGCTATATCTGACTTTCTAGCAGAGATTACACAATTTGTTCCCAAATCTACAGTGGGACAGCAAAAGGAATAAGAAGAAAGAAGGAACAAAAGCTGAAAGGTTCACCTTAACTTTTCCAGCATTTTCATCGTCTTCTTTTTTTTCTTCGAATTCAAAGGCAACCGTCATACGTTGTTGTCTCTGCTCTTCCCATAGTGTAGGGTTAAAGCTGTCACTGTCTGACTGGAAATCTAGAGTCCAAAGTATTATTGCTTTTTTTTCACATAGAGTGTTATTAATGGAACTTAAAACAACATGCAAAAAATGGTGATAGGTACTACAAATGAATCCAAAAATAAGAAAGGGGAGAAAAAAGAGAAAGAGGGAAGAAAGAATAGTAGAAAAAAGAAGGAATAAAATTCCCTTGCTACTTATTACATGCTGTCTTCACATCTTAACTCAAATTCAGCCTTCCTAAGTATGTATTCATGTCATATAGGGATTGGGAAAAGTGTAGGGAATGGACTTTCCATGGATCGATAAAAGTAGTCCATAGAGCTAGACTAAGCACTTCGAAACAGTATCTCTTTTTAATCCTCACAACAGCATAATGGTAGTACTAATAGCTTCCTTATTATACCAATGAGTATACTACAGATGAGTTTTAAGACATTTGCTCATTCATGCATCTTCTCTGTGACTAACGTAGAATTGGTTCTATTCCATGTCTGTGTGAATTCAGAGTGCATGTTTGTAACTACTACATCCTATAGGATCTCTGATTAAAAAAAAGAACATAGCAATGATTTTGCTTTAAATTTACTAAAATAGCAACATTTTGTGAGTGTGGGGGAATCTAGGGGAGCTTGTTTTTATGGTAATCATGTAGGAAATTTAATCCTTAATGATAAGATCTCAATTAGTTTAAGTATGTCTCAAGTCAACAGGGGAATGTCTTATAAATATTTACTTTGCAACCAAATAGTGGTGGCTAATGGTAGTATCTTCTTTAAAATATTATTGTGAAGATCACATGAAAATGCAATAAAAGTACTTAGTTTTAGGATAAATTCTTTTCCAAAAGATAGCCTTTATTGTATATTTCTTTGTTATGTGGAATTCCTAAAATTCATTTATAACACTCCTGCCTAAAAAAAAAAAAAAGGGATTTGCTTGAAACTTTTAAATAACCAACTCTTCTTTCCTCAAAGGAAACAAAACAAAACACCCAGTGACCAAGTAGACTAATTCTTTGGTGTCACACCTTGCCATCCCAGTTTCTCCTCAGGCTCTGGAACATGGTTGGGATTCAGTCTGTGAGACTGAATCTCAGAAAGAACTAGTGATTATGAGACACTTTTTATTTTTCTTCTAGATCCTTTTGAAATGAAATACTTTGATAATCTATGGATATTAAAAGGAAAACATAAGTAAAGCCTCCTGAATAAAACCATCTTTATTTAAGACTTTCCTTCTTTTTTTTATTTATTTATTTATTTATTTTTTTTATTTTTGACAGGCAGAGTGGACAGTGAGAGAGAGAGACAGAGAGAGAAAGGTCTTCCTTTGCCGTTGGTTCACCCTCCAATGGCCGCCGCTGCAGCTGGTGCACCGCGCTGATCCGATGGCAGGAGCCAGGATCCAGGTGCTTTTCCTGGTCTCCCATGAGGTGCAGGGCCCAAGCACCTGGGCCATCCTCCACTGCACTCCCTGGCCATAGCAGAGAGCTGGCCTGGAAGAGGGGCAACCGGGACAGAATCCGGCGCCCCGACCGGGACTAGAACCCGGTGTGCCGGCGCCGCAAGGTGGAGGATTAGCCTATTGAGCCACGGCGCCAGCCAAGACTTTCCTTCTATGGTATGTAAACATGGTGACTTTTCTTTCATAAACTCAAAAGATCCATTTTATTGAAGTTTGGAAAATACACATCAGAGCAATTTTTCCTTTTCCTATTTTTGAAACTTGCAGTTTGAATAAAAACATTCCCAACTAATTCATTTACATTTAGAAGTCAAAGATTAAGACTATTTATTATAATTATCTCTGAAAATAAATACAGAAGCAAATAGTCTTCTTTACAAATTGACCTCAATTAAGTATATTGGGTGGATTTAATCCATGGCTGGATTAAAGTGGGTTTACTCTTCCAAGAATTTATGTTACTTGGAGAATGTAGAAAATATGAACATGCCAACTTGGGCTAAGGAGCCTCAGTGAAGTTTTAAATAGCAAAGACAGACCTGTGTTAATGTTTTGATGAATCATGTGATCATCTGATAAAAGATTTCGTTATTGGACAAGGTCAAGATTAAAAACACTTTTTCCATCATAGTGGCTGACATGGTTTACAGAAACTCAACTTGAAAAAGAAATTATGGTCATTATCTGTATGTCAATTCTTTATGGTTAACTCATAAAATGAAATAATTTGGGACCCCAAATCACTGGACTAAATGTTTAAATTGTGTTCACGGAAAAAGTGGACACACGAAATAAAATAGCTCACTGAATATTTTTTAGGATCTGACTGCTGTTACCACCTTTGAATTGATTGGTACCATGTTTGGTTAACTAGTCCTATGTCTTCTATCCATAAAAAGAAGTTCCTCCTAAAAGTCAACCTTATTTTCACATAAGATATACAGAAAAAGAGTTTTGTATGGGGAATTTTAATTAAAATATAGCACAAAATGTAAGACTCATGCTTAGTAAAATTCCAAATGATAGATGAATGTCATGGGATTTTCTTTATAGGCTTGTGCATGATCTAGTACTTTTGACAGAGATCAGAATAAAATCATACCTTTTAAATCCTAATCACTTTAAGTACAGAGGAAATTTCTACTGATAATTTACCTTCATCACCACGGGGCTGCTGGGGAAACATGTAGTTAGTTAAAACCCTTTGCTTTGTTTCTGGATGGGCTTCAGTTTGTAAAGGGATAAGTGCTTTGGACTGGAAGCAAAGAAAATATAAATTAGTTTAATAAACTTACTAATATAAATAATATTTATTTCATATGAGTTAGCAGTTTAATCTCACAGAAAAACATCAACCATTAAAGCAAAAGTGAGGGGAAAATGGAATAAGAAAGCATAATATAAAATTATTTCTAGGGAATGCTTTAAAGTTTCAAAATATTTATAATGAGGTTTTCCTCTTTTTTAACACCAGGTTACAAAATTTACCAAAAACTATGCAACTGAGCAATACCATTTTTTAATCTTGAAGAGATCAATTGTGAAAATGTTTGAATAAATAAACTTTTGGTACAATTCTATGTGCCTATTCATTTTCATGGACTATTGCCCTAGACAAATGGAATTTGCTATCCAATTCATATAATGAAACATCATCTATGAATTTAGTTATGTTAAAACATAAGCATTAATTTATTTTTAACCCAAGACAGAATCCACATACAGAGAAGCATCTATACTTGTATCTGATATATCCCTGTATATTTACTTAGGTTATATTTTATTCTCTGTTCTTAACTTGATTTCAGAAATATTTTGTAGCACATTGCCAATAAAATACCATGTTTTTCACTTTATTTCTCTGGAGTGTTTTATTTTTCTTATTTAGAAGTTATGTATTGAAAATGCAATAATATTCTATTTTTAAAAAAGAAATACTATTTTTAATGTTTTTTAAAGAATTCTGATAGTATGTGTAAGAAATATACTGGGAATGATAATATTTAATGTATCAGAAATCTGCTTATTTCATGACACTTATTAATAAGAGTGAAGCACAAAGAGGATTTGAGATACCAGCTTGTGTCATGAAACAGTCTGAAACACATTAAACCAATTTCTAAATAAAAGTTAAATGATGCAGTCACTATTCTGTTCATTCTCCTGAAAGAATAATAAATCACGATAGGAAGGGATGTTTTCACAATGCGATATTATAGGATAGACTGACTGCTCTACTGGCACGGTTCACACTTATTCAAGAAATGATGCATTTAAAATGGAAATATTGATGGCTTGAAAATCTATAGTTTATTCATAAGAGTCAAGTTTGAATAGCAACCTAATTTTTCACTCAGCAGAAGGAAGCAAGCATGTGCTGTAGTGATTGTAGGAACACAAACATTCTTACATTTACATTTTCTAGAGAATATTTTTATTTTTTCACACAATTAACTCAATAACTAGAAATATAAACAACTCATTTACCAATTATACAACTTTTGTGTTCTGAAAATAATGTTAAACTAGATTCTAGATGCATTATTTTCATTTGACTATTTATACTTTGGGATAAGTATTTCATAATTTTAGGATCAAAAGAAAAAAGAGCAAGCTATGTCAAAATGTTCATCACGAGTTCTAGTGGAAAATCACATGTCTTCAACTGCTTCGTACTTTTCCCAGTTAATGAAATTATTCATTAACACTCAATTATGTTAATGACTATACAGAATAATATAAAATAATTTCATAGAAAATATTATTACTACATACCAAAGGAAATTTGGAAATTTTTTGAATAAAGTTTTAGAATTATAATGGTTATAATTAAAAGCATGGAAATAAAAATGAACATAGAGGATAGTGATTCCCCTCTTGTGGGGATTGTGGTAATGGTTTTCTATCCTTTACCTTAGAGATATAATTAAAGGGCATCTTCTAAGGACATATATGTACCACCTAAAGGTAAAAAGCTATAAAAATGATTATTTCATGTATTAGATCTTTGAGATTGAAGTAGATGTTAAATAGAAGCATTTGAAGAGAATGGTGATTACAGTATTGTTTTGTCCATGGCAATGTTTGAAATGTTACATTTATGAAAGTCTCTCCTCCAGGGAATAAAGAATCTATATCTGGTAGTAGCATTTTAAAGGTATCTATTAGGAAAAAGTTAGCAACTGAATGTTTCAATTACAGATAGCATTAATAAACAAAATAAGTCTGGTAATAAAAGTTTTTACCTGATTGTCAGAAAGCCACAATGCAGCAAGCTCTTTAAGTTTGGTAAATGAGAATGGCAAATTCTTCAATCTGAAAAAAAAAAAAAGAAAGAAAAAGAAAATTCTAATGGCATAGATGAAAACAGATAAAGTGAATTTCTAAGAAGAATTATTTAAAGTACTCTAATTGATTTTCATTCTTATCTCCAATCCTTTCTCCACTGAAAAGTCTGAATAACCTTAAAAAACAGACATATCTTACTTACATTCTGAATGTTTCCCATTAGATGTGTATAAAATAAAAATATTAACATTCATTATTAGAATTTAAAAGATTCAGCCCCTAAAGTGCCTCAGGAAGCTTCTGCTATTTTTTTCCTGACTCAGAGTCATTATACCATAAGGCATCTCTGAGCCTACAACAAGATTAGCCACGCTCTTTCCTCTGTCTGGAACAGTCTTTCTCCCATACTTCACTTGACTGGTTCCCAGTTTAAATACCATTTTTTCCAAGACACTTATCCTGACTCATTTAAACTGCTGTTCTCAATCTTCAAGCACCTGTATTTTCCTGTATGGTACACATTGCTATTTTTTTCTTTTTCTTTTTTTTATTTAGTAAATATAAATTTCCAAAGTACAGTTTATGGATTACAATGGCTCCCCCCCCCCCATAATTTCCCTCCCACTCGCACCCCTCCCATCTCCCGCTCCCTCTCCCATTCCATTCACATCAAGATTCATTTTCAGTTATCTTTATATACAGAAGATCTATTTAGTATATATTAAGTAAAGATTTCATCAGTTTCACATTGCTTTTTTTTAAAAGACTTAATTTCATTTATTTTGAAAGAGAAAGAAAGAGATAGATACAGAGATAGATAGAGATAGATACAGAGATAGAGATAGAGATAGGGAGATAGGGAGAGGGGGAGAGGGAGGGAGAGAGGGAGGGGGGGGAGAGAGAGAGAGAGAGAGCGAGCTTCCATCTGCTGGTTCATTCCTCAAATGGCTACAACAGCTGGGACTGGGCCATGCGAAAGCCAGGAGCCTAGAACTCCATCTGGGTCTCCCACATGAGAGCAGGGGTCCAAGAACTTGGGCTATCTTCTGCTGCTTTCCCAGGTGCATTAGCAGGAAGTCATTGGAACTGGAGCCACCAGGACACGAACCATGGCTTATATGGGATGATGGTGTAGCAGGTGGTGGCTTAACCCAGTGCCCCACAACACTGGTCCCACACTGTTGTGACTATTGCTGTTATACTGTTACCCCCACAAAACTGTGGCTTCTATGAAGGCAAGGTGTCATGTCACCATTAAATTAATGTACGGTTCCCACTGTTATATTGACCTTCAGAAAGCATTTCATTTTGTTCCCTCTCTTTCATATACTATATAGTAGATATTCCTAGAGGAGATCTTTCAAAATAACATTGTTGAGATATGTGAAGTTTGGGATCAGTCCCTTAGTTTTCAATCAAAATTTTATATTTAGCTTTGGCTCCAGCCTTTTGAGGGACAACTTGCCAAACGATTATTTCAGTGCAGTGTCTGTATGCTTGTAACTGTGCATGATCAACAAATTGTAATCAGACAGGTTAATATCATAGCTGCCCAGTAAAGCGAGCAGTACACATTGAATGCCAATGAAATTTATTGCTAATGTCTGTGTGTTCACTTTTGAATGCACATAAACATTTCAGGTATAACTTAGGTTGAAAATTTTCTTAAGTATTCAATATGTTGGAACTTTATCAGCTTGTTCATGAATAAATATTTTGATAATAGAAGTGAAAAATTCTTTAATAGTTAATAAACACTGTAGATGCAGTTAATTTCATGTGAAAAAGCAGTTAAATACTTTCAAATAATTTAGTAAATATGAAAAGTGATTGACAGCTAATACAAATATTAAGAGTGTGCTTTAGCTAGGTAATTCTTATGAAGAAAATACAAAAAAGAAAATAATACTTTCTGAACTACTAAATATTTGTAAAATGAAAATATAAAGAACATAATAAATTATATCACAATTCTCCTTTTATAGAATGATAGCTTTAAATAAAATTACTCATAAAAGTTTTTTATAACTTATAGCTATTCAAGTTCATTTATGCAAGAAATTATGAAGTAAGGTTTTTTGGAGGAATTTAGGGATAAATTATAAAGAGAATGCCAATTCTAATGTATCAACATTCCACGAGGGGAAACGTCTCTGAAATCATGTACAACAATGTCCAGGATATATTGTCATCAGTCCCATCATAAATGTAAAGTATGAAAGACAAGGCATCATTATTTTCCCTTGCTGTTCCAGTGACTTTTTTGAGGACAAGTCTGTATGAAATATCATAAATGTGCAGTAAACTGACCACAGGCACAATGCTGTGGCTGACAGGGCAGATGAATCAATTTTCCTAATGATAACAGCCAACTTTAAAGATCCATTATAATTTAAATATGCATTTGTAATAGTTATTATTCTGGGCTAACATTTATTTAATCTTTATTCAAACAATTCATTCTCTGATGATACTGTTTATCTTTGGCCTCAGCTTTAGCTCAATATTGAATTTTTACTCCTGATTATGATTCATTGATTAATTCATTAATTTAAAACATTAATTTGGCTTTGTACTGTGTTCCAGTCCCTATTACTAGGATTAATTATGCCTGCATTTCTAGCCTGATAAAGGTTTTTAAGCTTCTGATATTGTGAGTATCTCAATGCCTTATTTGTATATTTTACCATAGCACCATGTAGTCTGTCTGGATAATGTTAGGTACACATATCTGTTGTATTTGCTAATAACTCTAAAGTATTAATTTAAAATAGTCTATCTACATGTCATTTGTAGCATATAATTTAATCATACAGATTCTTAATGAAAAACTTCAAGCAAACCAAAAATTTAGGAGAGACATCTTGTATAATATGAAACCCATTTCTAGGTTGACAAATGGTTTCAGTAGGTATTGTAATAGAATCCAATAGGAGAAAGGGGTTCCAAGATGGCAGAAAAGTGATAGGAGAGTCTGAACCACAGAGGGAAAGATTAATATTTAAAAAGGGGAGAAACCACTGCCTAGATAAAGCCATGGGAAATTTGCAGCGGGAAACCCAGTGAAAACAACAGAGATGGTCCAGGTCTGCACCAAAGAGCAAAAACAACAACAACAACAAAAATACATGGGAGTTTTGGAGCCAGGGGAGATTCATGATAACTAATAGAGCCCCTAAAAGGCAACCTGTAGAAATGAAATTGACACTTTGAGAAGCAATGATTTTGAACAGCACTTCACTTGACTTTTGAGGAATAGCTTTTTATTTTATATTTTTGTTTATCTTTTCTTTTCCTTTATAATATTTTCCTTATCTTTTTTCTTTCATATGAATCATTGAACTCTTTACTTAACATAGAGTTAACCATATATGTATAAAGTTAATTGAAAACAGGTCTTTAATAAAGGATAAGAGTGAGAATAAGGAAAGGAAGAAGAAGGTGGGGTGGGAGTGTGGGTGGGAGGGAGGGCACAGTGGGAAGAATTACCAAGATCCTGAAGTTGTAATTGTGAAATATAGGAAGTTCATAACTGCAAAGCAGTATATTCCTGCATACATTCCCACAGACTTACTTTTAAGTGTACAGCTTAACAGCTTGCCATAGGACCCCAAATTCCCTTAAGCTGGCTGGTAGAAATAGCAGCTTAAGTGTTATAAAGATAAATGAATGGGATTAAGTGGTAAGTGACCATATAGATAGACTTAAGTGTTAAAGTGATAATATAAATAGGACCAAGTGTTTGGAAACAATAATAGACAGAATCAAAAAGGAGTAAAGGCTCCAGCATGGAAAGCAGTCCATACAGCAGACTCATAGAATGATAATCACTTTAACTAGCACTCCAACCTCAGACCTAGCCCTTAAGGCATTCCAGTCCAGGTAAAAAGCTCAGGGGAAGCATTTCAGGCGTGGAAAGCCAAGATACTCTGGCAGAAAATGCCCTACACAAAGGACCCCTGTGAATGAGACCCCAGTGAAAAGACGTGGCCACCAAAGAAGGATACACTTTTCTCTGAAGGTAGGAGAGAACTTCCACTGTGCTTATAGCCTCCTCAAGCTAGTGGATACAAAAGACTTCCATAGCCAAGGCAGCTTATGTCAAGAGCCTTTGGTGATCACTGATGTCATATATAAGAGTGTTATTTATTAAGTAAACAACAAGAGTCACTGCGCACTAACTTCTCATGCAGTACTTCTGTCCCTAAATAGTTGTATCATGAGACTTAATATTAAAACTTATTCTCAAGAATCACCTCCTTTTAGTGTATTAATTGGAGGATATTATTATGTCTCATAAGTTATAGTTATGTCTAAGAGTTTGAAAAAGATGTATCATCCTTGGGTTCTTTAATTTCAATTAAGCTTCTAAAAAGAAAGAAGAGGGAGGAAGGAAGGAAAAAGAGAAGAGGGAAAAAAAAAAGCGAAATCACTTCCTAGAAGCAATAACATTGTGAAACATTCTAGTTTTTTTTATTCCATTGTTTCTTGTTCTTTCTAGGACTAAACAGGAGAGGGAGAAGGAAGAAGATGGGGAGAGTAGGTGGGAGAGTGGTGGGAAGAATTATTATGTTCCTAATGTTGAATTTATGAGGTACATACAAATAAAAAGAAAAGAAAAGAAAAGAAAAAAATAAAGAGGATAAAGGAATTAAGGAAAAAAAAATAACTACCTAAAGGTTGCAAAAAAAAAAAAAGAATCCAATAGGATACACTTTTTAAGATATTACCATAAATTACCATATTTTGTGCTTAATTCCTAATAATATAATTAGAGATTTAAAAACAATGTCTCACTAAAAGTTAGATACAGTTCTCTGTGTGGTCTTCAACTTCTAGTCTGGTAATCCAGGTGGAAGAGGAAATGATGTTGATTTGACAGGACTTCCTTTTGAAGCACAAGTTTTGGTACTTCCTTGTTTCATAAATAGAATCTTCAATCTATTAATAAGATGTTTGATTCTCCTTTTTTGGAAATATTATAGAACTCTTAAGATAATAGTTTTTGACATTTACAATGTTTTCTAAATAAACTAGAAAACAAATGAGAACACCCAGGCTTATCCTGAAACTTTCAGAATCTGAGCATTCTTCAAGATTTCATAAAGCTCATCTCTGACAGTTTTATTATCTGACCTCTTATTCAGACTATCATTTGCCTAACTGAAAGTTATTAAAACATAAAGTTCATGCATTCAATTGTGTAATCACTTTATTGACTTAGTGTTTACCTCTAGTCAATATCTATTTTATTGTTTCCTATTTGAGGACAATTACTGTCTATTAACGAGGTAGAAACAAAGATTCATCAAAGTTTACCTTTTATTTTTCCCCATCCACCAATATAGTCCACTCTTGTTAAAAGAAGAGGACCCTTTTATGCTCCCCTTGCTCTGAACATAACTAGTTAATTGATTGTCTTTACTGCACTGTGTAAAACTTATGATTTTTGAAAATTAGCTATGGCAATATTCTTACCAGCACTCTGATGGAGTTTACATAAATACATGTCCAATTAATTAATTGAAGATGTGAATGTATACATGAAAACACACATATATTTGTTAATATGTTTTATAGCTATAAATTATAATTGCATTTCCACATCTTCATATTATGTGTTCTGCATATGAGTTGCTGGCACAGAACTTTGAGTTATAGATTTTATGTAACTCTAATATGTAAAAATGATTTTAATATATTCAAATAATGAAAGGTAGAGTTACTTGATTTAAAAATAATGTAGCTTCTGCTGTGTATATTTATATTTCAATTATGAAACAAGACATTGATGTTCCCAAAATTATAGACAAAGACATAATTTACTTTTAGAAAACAACCAATGTGATTTTGAAATGTTGCAAAAATACCTGTTGTCACTCAAATTTAAAACTCTTAGTTTCTGCATCTGTCCAATTTCTTCAGGAAGAAATTCTAGCTTATTGGAGCGTAGAGACATAACTGTTACATTTTTACAGCTTCCAATCTGTAGATAACAAAAGAATATAAGAAAGAAATCATAGTGTAATGTTACTTTTATTTTAATTTCTCCAATATATAAAACAATTTAACTCACAGATTTCATCATTTTAAACTTTCTACCAATAAATGTATTATCTTACTTTTTATAGACTTGCTCTTAAAAGTATGTGCATGTTATATACTTTTAGATATTAAAAATATTTCATATTCCTTTATATATTAAAAGCATGAATTATATTTATAATTTTATTGTTAAAATACTTGAGTTTATTTTTGCATATATTATTTTGTCTATCAAGTAAGACCTCTTGTATCTGTGTGTATACAGAAGAACATACATATTCAAAAAATGAATCATAGTTGACAGTTCCTAGGCAAAGCTAGTTTTATTTTGTGTGCAATTTTATTTATCATTTTCATAAATTTTGGCTTTGAAAGAATGATATATTGACTATTGTTCTATTGTTATGGAAGTGTTCAGAAGAAAATGTTAAATTGAAAATGTACTTCACATTCTAAACATTAGTAAACATAGGCCCATTTGGAGATAAAAATTAACAGAATTTCTTGGTGGATCCTGAAGTTAAAATATTATTATGCACATGAAATCATAAAAACATATTTATATTAGAAAGCTTATACTTCAAATATGGAAATGTAATGTATCCCAAAGTATTACTTATAGCTATTCCTGAGAACAAGATAAATTAAATGATTTAACATTGCATTTGTTGACATTTGTTAAATTATAATATTTTATTACTTTACATGAAATATTTAAATCAAATAAATTTTCCGGGTAAATATAAGGACTTGTCAGCAGTAATTTAAAATATGATCGCCAAGCAAATATATATGTAACTGATTCCCACGCAGGTTCACAGCTCAACTCATGAATCTACTCGTGAATTTATTATTTCACTGGTTAAGAGTTTATCTCAAAACGTATTCATTAAAAGTTGATTGACAGAACACAAGTTTATTCCTTACTTCTCTGGGTAATTCTGGAAGGAAATTTTCATCGACTGCTAATGTTCGAAGACTATGAAGGTAACCAATAGTAGAAGGTAGTGACTCCAGTTCATTACAGCTACAATCAAATTCTTCTAATAAAGATAAACTAAAAGGAAAAGGCATTAGTCAGACATTTCAAGTTTAGGTGGCAATAAAGTTTTAAAAAGCTACATATTCAAATTCCTCAAACAAAACTTGTTCAAGTGATTATATATCATATTATATGGATTAATGTATTTCATCAGTTTGGTCAAATGATTCAATGTCATCAAATAAATAGTTACATTGTGTAAAGTAAGTAAGGTTTATTTTCTCCCTTTCCCAATTCATCATTGAATCGGGTCATGAAAAATGATAGGATGGTTTTTCGTTTGTTTATTTGTTTACAACTTGGGTGTTGTACCTAGGTGCTCATAATACATCTTCCTTGGAGTGAGTTTCTATAAAACTGGTATTGGAGAGGTAAAAGGGTACAGAGAGCAGACCCAAGAAAGGGCCATAAGTATGGGGAGCAATAAAAGCAGTGATGATTTGCTCAGTATTTTATTAAGCACTTTAGACATTAAAAAAAAAACCCACAAACCTCTTCCTTATAATAACTACTATATTATTTTAAAACTCATTTTACAGATAAAATTGAGACTCACTTACCCAAGTCCACTCACAGCTGAAAAGCTAGAACTTAAATGTAGACCACATGGATTTACTGTTATGCTGCCCCTTAGCCTATACATCTGCAGTATAGGTTATGGACAGGGCTCACCTCAGTCTGTAGATGCTCTATTTGGTTTACGTAGTATTATAAATGCTAATACATTTTTGATATAATGATCCAGAATTTTCATGCCCTGCAAAAGGTGACGATCTGGCAATATTGGGCCTGCATTCTCCATGACAAGTAATGAAACAGTAGTATCTACTGCCTTCAGATAAACACAGTTCTTCTGTTTATCTCCAGTTTGTCACAGTTCCCACCACTGTGTTCTTAGCTGGCCTTATCCCAGATCTTCAGAAAAGGAACTGAATGATGGTATATGGAAGTTGTCAAAAGGAAACAAGACACTGCTGAGAAACAAAGAGAGTCTGGCCTAGGGATGGCTCCAGCTATGCTGAAGTTGCTGTTGATGTTTTTAATATTATTAAGTGGAATATTATTATTATTATTATTGCTGTTGTAGGAAGGAACTCTGTGGTTGAAACTCTCTGCCAGTGGAGACATAGCAATGAATTCAGGTGAATTGGGATAGTAGAATGAGCTTCCTGTTTTATCTATTGAAACTAGCTAACTTGAATGCAATTTGCTCCTGCTATTTAGTCAACAAGTGAACACAAAAATTAAGCAGATGGATCAGTCAGAATGGATTTGTGTCCTGGCTCTGTCACTTACTAGATATATTATCTTGGGGATCAACAATTAAAACAAAGGCTGCCGCAACTCAAAAAATAAAGCTGATTTTATTTACCTGCCAGGCAAGCAAAGACACAGGGAAGAAATTCTGTGAGTAGTTAATGCTCCAGGGGGAATAGTCAGTGATGAAAGAAGGGTGGTGGTAGTGGATCCAGATGCTTACATGAAGGATGGAACACCTGCTTTATGGAACGGGTGCAATGGGTACATTAGTCTGTGCACAGTTAGGCAACTCAAGTCTCACTGTGCGTGGGTCAGGTAAAATAATACATCTAGCTATACGCTGACTCTTACCAGGGTCACTTAAGGTTCATGATATCAGCAGTTCAGCTGTTAGAACTAGTTGTGGAGAAACACAGCTTTCAATTTTGTGTGATAGCTCTTTAGCAAGTGCTGTCTAAATGGAAACTTTTCTTTTTTACATAGACAAGTCACATGACTTCTTCCCAAGTTTTAGTGTCTTTACATTTGCAATGAGGATAATAATAATTCCTGATTCACACAGTTGCTCTGAGTATTTCATGAAATGTAAGTAAAGAACTTAGTGCAGTACCTGTCAAAAATGCATGCTCATAAAGTGATTTTTTCTGATAATTAGTGAACCTGGTTAATGTTGTTTCCAAATCCTTTGAATCCCACATGCAGGGATGGCTACAGGTGCCAGGTGTGTATGATTGTGTGACTTTTCATAGGTATTTGTAGGGGCAGGAATCATGTAGGAAATGTGTAACAGATTTTGTTTATTAAAAAAAAAAGATAAGCCAAAATAACCCAACACTGTGTCTTACATATATAATGCAATTAATAACTTTTGAAGAATTGCATAAAAGAGTTTGCTATTAATAGTCTCAGATCATAGGCTCAGCAAGTTCACAAAAGCACCAGGGATTTTTTAAAGTAAACATTTCATAAATATGTTCAGAGGTAGAAGTCAATGAAGGTAGCGTAATAATTTAAAAAATATAATAAAGTGCTCTCATTCTTGAATTAAAAATACATTTTGAAGTTAGTTTTGAGTTACAGTAAGGGGTCTTACCCTGCATGATTTCAAAATGCACAGATTTCAGTTATCATATCTCATTAAATTTTATCACATTTTAACAATGTGATTCAAATGCTAATTATCTTGGTATTTAACTGTGTATAGTATCACCTGTACATTTTTTTGAAATATAGTATAATGTCAGCACATGTACAGCATAAACTGATCAAAAGTGTTGCAATGTATAGTCCACATGGCAGAATGTGAATCACAGACACATGCTTTTATCAGAAAGCATCACATAATTTCCTTCAAAGTCTGTTAATGATCAGTCACTGTGCATCTGTTATGCAGTTTACATATAGACAGCAAATCATGTGTTACCGTCTGTGTTCCAGCAGTGGACAAATGCGACAGGGAGAATGATTTAACCTTTAAAGAACTACTACCAAGAACTACCAAGAGGCACCAAGATGGCAGAAAAGGGACAGAGATTACTCTCTAGTTTAGGAGAAGATAGTTACAAAAAACAAACAAAAAAAAACAAAAAAAACAAAAAAAAAACCCATGGAGAGAGTCCAACCTCAGAGAAAGTCCACACAAATTAGAGGGACTGTGGATCTGTATGCAGGGTGTGCAGGGTGAAGGCACGCACAACTCGGGACCCCAGCAGCTAAGAGCCTGAGCACCAGCTTTGGAGAGTGAGGTGAGACCAGACTGCAGCAGCCCATGCCACTGGTGACAAAGCTGTGGGAAAGCCTTGCAGGAGTCTGGATTGGAGTCCTGTGGGGGACAGTGTACTTGCCAATCTAGAGGAAAAAAGGGGTGACATGTTTCTCCCTCCCTGACCTTCCAGCACCAGAATTCTGTAACTAGCTGAGAGTGGGTGGAAGCCATTTTGGACATACATACATATCAGCTGTGCCAATGTGTCTGTAACCAGCCAGGAGGAGACACCTGCGTCTGGCTGGGAGAATTGACAGGGAGCTGGGTGCTCGTGACTTGGGCACCTTGTGTCTGGGATTGTATAAACACTGTGGCTGCGTGTGGGCAGCACATGCTTGGGGCTCCATGATTCCTGGGTGAGGGTCATTGCTGTGGGATCTGTGCTCACACCTAGGACTGCTTGGATCCTTTGTGTGGTTCTTGTGGCAGAGCTGATGAATACTGTACCCACTGGGGCTAGCATGCAATCATTGGTCTCCTTGGAGGAGAGGAGGTGAGTGAGAGACTATGCCAACCAAGCTGAACAAATTTCCCCTCTCAGAAAAACAAAAAAAAGCAGATTTATCCTGCCAATGCTGCTGAATTTGGGAGTCACCTTGGATCCTCTGATTAGAACACTGATTAGAGCTCCTTGGCCACACCCAGCATACACCTCAGGGTATTCACTGAAAGAGCAGACACTCCACTAATCCACAGAGGCATAGTCTAAAGATAAAACCCATCACAGTAGGAAAAAAAAATAAACCAACAAGTATCTCCATAAATGCCTAAAAAAAGCATAGCAATTCAAGAAACAAGAATAGGAAAGACAATATGATGCCCCCCAAAGGAACACACTTCAATACTAGAATGTGAAAACAAAGAGACTGAAGAAATGCCAGAAACTGAATTTGAAAAATTGATCATAAGATTAATTAGAAGTAATCAGAAGCAAATCCATGAATATGACACAAAATCTGTACATGACACAAAAGAAAATTTTCCTCATGAAATTCAGATTTTTAAAGAGAAATCAAAATGAAATATTGGAAATGAAGAATTCAACAGAACAAATAAAAAAAGTGTTGGAAAGCCTTAACAACAGAATTCGTGAGGCAGAAGAAAGAATATCCAAGTTAGAAGGCAAATCTCTAGAAATCTTACAGCAGACCAAAAAAAAAAAAAAAGGAAGAAGAAGTTAGAAAACTGAAAAAAAAAAAAACCAAAAAACCAGTGTTGAAGATCTCCAGACTACTATCAAATGACCCAACAAATGAGTCCTAGGAGTTCCTGAAGGCATGGAAAGAGAGAATGGATTACAGAAAACTTCCCTAATTTGGAGAAATAAAGGGTCATCCAAGTACAAGAAGCACATAGAACTCCTAATAGACATGACCAGAAAAGATCTTCACCATGACACATTGTAGTAAAAATCTCCACCATAAAACAGAAAGAAAAGATTCTAAAATGTGCACAAGAGAAATGCCAGATCACATTCAGAGGATCTCCAATTAGACTCACAGTGGACTTCTTATCAGAAACCCTACAGGCCAGGAAGAATGGTGAGATATAGTCCAAGTCTTGAGAGAAAAAAAAAAATTTCAACCCAGAATACTGTACCCTGGAAAGCTCTCATTTATGAAGGAAGGTGAAATAAAGACCTCCTATAACAAACAGTAATTGAAAGAATTTGTTATCACTCTTCCAGTCTTACAAAAGATGCTTAAGGATGTGCTACACACAGAAACAGAAACATGGTCATCACTGTGAAAGAAGTTGAAGGCAGAATATCTCCCAGTAAAGGTACAAAGTAAACAATAGGCATATTTATGGAAAAATGGCAGGGCCAAGTCATTCTGTATGAATAGTCACTTTGAATATAAATGGCCTCAACTCTCCAGTTAAAAAATATAGACTGAGTGGGGAAAAAAAAGCAAAATCTTTCTATTTGCTGCCTACAAAACCACAACTCACCAACAAAGATACATGCAGACTGAAAGTGAAAGGATGG